TTTATAATAGACACCACAACACCTTCTCAGCGGCATGCTGAGCTGACCAGGCATGGCCCAACGCCTTCCCAGAGAGTTGCCTCAGTTCCAAACATACCCTGGAGACCTCTGCATCTGTGCCATCCTGCCACTTTCAGTCCCGTGTCTGCTTTATTTCTCTTCAAGCCTGTCTTCAGCTGGCCTATATTAACATATGTTGTTATTCTGAGAGTCATGACAGCTAGGGATTTGTCTCCTTAGCTCATTGCCCAGTGTACAGAATCTAGAACAGGGCCTGGTCCACAGCAGTATATCCAATCTTCCACTATGGTAAGTAGGGTATTCCTAGGAAGCGCTCATAAGCCCAAAAGGCACAAATTGAAGAAACACTTATCATTAGTTTATTTATCATTAATTTATATAGAAACATTTTTGAGTGTTATATAACCAAAAAAAAATAACCTACCAAATAACATATAACACTTAAAACAGCACTAACATATAGTCCATATGGGAATGACATGATGGGTACCCAGCCTGTAGAAAGCAATTCCCACAGGAATCTGGCAGCCCCACCCCACCCTACTGGGAGGCTTGCAGCTCCAAGAAGAGCTGCCACAAAGCAAACCTGAAGCAATACTTTCATTTTTCTGCTTTTTTTGCGAAAGTGAAAATCCTCTTTGATTTTTCCCTTATGGAATACTGGTATGAAGCTGCTTTCTCAAGAGAGTGAGATGGTATGACAGGAACTTTCAAAAAGCAGGGGCTATTCCATGTGTTTGGCGAGAGCGTGATTAGGGGATGAGCTCTGCTTCCATCTCCTGCTTATTAGAATCATGATCTTGAACAAGCTGACTAACCTTCTTAGGTGTCAGGTATCATTTCTGCAAAATGAATGCAGTATTATTTCCCCTGCTTACATCATATAATTATCATGGGGACCACATGACACAATGATGTAAAGGTACTTTGCTCTCTATCATGTGCTGCCCAAATTTGAAAGGGGTCGTTCCTCTCACACACAGTAGTCTGACTGGTTGAATCACACTCAGGACTGGTCTAAAATCAAAAGGTAACTGGATGACAGCTGAACTGAGCCAAGTGTCTGCATCTGATGTGAGGTGCCCGCAAGTCACTTCCCAAGGCAGCAGCCTGGAGGGACAGGGACTGTGACAGGGTAGAGGGGAGGTTGAAATAAAGGCACCTGCTCACATCTCACAGTGACTGTGGGCAAAATGCCCACCTGCACAGCACATGGACACTCTACACAGTGGGTACCCCCCAACCCACCTTTCCCCAGGGGAGGAGCCTTTCACAACAAGCATGGGGGTTACTGGATTCAGACCAATAATGCACCTCTAAAGAGTTCAATATACAACAGAATATTATACAGCCAAGAAAAAGTATTGAAATATTGATCCCACAACATGGATGAACCTTGAAGATGTGATGCTAAATGAAAGAAGCCAGACACAAAAGCCACCTATTGTCTTACTCCATTTATAAGAAAAGTCTGGAATTGGCAAATTCACAGAGACAGAGAGTAGATCAGTGGACCCAGGAGATGAAGAGAGGGCAATAGACATGGCTGCTAATAGAGGCAGGGTTTCTTTATAGACTGATGGAAATATTCTGAAATTAGGTAGTTATGATGGTTCCCAATATAATCAATACATTAAAGGCCACAGAATTATACAGTTGTATAATAATATAGTTGTATTCAATTATATGATGGTGAGGCTTTTATCATTGCAAAACAAAGCATGTCAGAAGACACCATAATAAAAATAATAAAATTTAATTTATAAGTTAAAAAAAAAAAAACCCAATCTAGTAAGACATGAATCTTCTCTAATCCCTTCATAGTGGTGGTGGGGTGGGGAACTTTCTGGCCTGGCCTCTTCTGCCGAATTGGCCCTTAGCAGCAGTCAGGGCCAGCAGGGTCAGTGTCTACTCAGGTAGAAGGGGAAGTGTTGGTGTAGTTTAACTTCACGCTGTGCTGTGAGGTACCCTATCTCATTGAGAACTTGAATTTACTTTTAAAAAAGAATGGTCTTCCCTGGTTTTAAAGAAACACACATTAGAAAGAGTGGAAAATCCAGAGCCCTGCCTAGTGGGGCAGTGGGTTAAAGCACAGTACTAGGAAGCCACCACAGCCACAGCAGCACGAGTTCAATCCCTGGCCAGGGAGGTAACCCACATGGTGTGGCAGACCTCTTCTGACCTACCTGCTGCTCCCCTCAGCAGTATATTTCAGTACATCTGTCTGTTCTACTTCCCACTCTGACTCTGGTGAATCCTCTCACTCCATGTACCTCTGGACTTCGCTCTAATTCTGAACGCATAAATAAATAAATCTTTTTCAAAAATTGGAAAATAGAAAAAGTATCCAGTTCACTGAAGTGGATGTCTGGGGTCCGTGGCCAGCAGTATTTAGGCAGTGCATGGAGGATACAGGGAGAGGTTCTGGCTCCTCCAGCTCCGTGTTGCTCCTGACTTCTAGGCTACCATTGTTCCTGCAATCCAGCTTACTCTTCCTAGAGACTTCTCCCCTCCACTTCTCTCCCCTTTGCCCCCAGCCCCACAGCTGTGCTTCCTGGAAGGACTTCAGCTCTGAGGAAAAGTTGCCCATGCCCTCTGAGAGCTGCCCTGCCAGACCGTGTGCTTCACAACGGCCAGTTCCTGGAGCACATGAGCTCTAGTGTCTCAGCCTCTGCAGACCACATCAGAAGTGGAGAGATGCCAGCTGCCCTGCTCTGTACAGGAAGGAGAGGTCATCTGTCTTAGGCAGCAGTGACTGCCTAGGATAGGACAAATTGCAACGTTCTGATCCAGAGCAGGAAAGGAAGGTGTTGTGTGGCAAACGCCCTGCCCCTTCATAGTTTCACTCCGCTCGCGTCACCCAGTCTTGTGCCCCACAGGTCACGCACAAGTCCCATCTACACTCCCGTCTATCACATCTTCACCAATTCTGCATCATACACACGTTCCAATTCATTCATCTCCTTCAATTCCATATTTTCCATCAAAGTTATCACCAGGCATTAGAAATTACTAAAACAACCACCAGATAGGCCAGTCAGAGTCAAACAGGGTCATACAAATCACTCTTGATGCTTCAGAAACATCTTTATCTTTAAATGTCATTTAGAATTTTAATATTCAAGCTAAAGATCTGGGGCTCAGTAGTGCCAGCATCACTTGGATGTTTGTTAAGAATGCAGCATCTCGGCCCTCCCTGGTGGCGCAGCGGGTTAAAGCACAGCACTGAGAATCTAAAGCCACTTCTGCATGAGTTCAATTCCAGCCTGCCCCGGAGGTGACCACATGGTGTGGCAGACCTCTCCTGACCCGCCCGCTGCTCCCCTCAGCAGTGTACTTCGTCGATCTGCCTGTTCTGTTCCCCACTCTGTCTCTGGTGAAGCCTCTCACCGCCCCTGAGCCTCTGGCCTGTACCCCAGTTCTGTATGCACAAATAAATAAAATCTTAAAAAAAAAATAAATAAAAAAAAAAAGAATGCAGCATCTCGACCCTCCCTGGTGGCGCAGTGGGTTAAAGCACAGCACTAAGAAGCTTAAGCTACTGGTGCATGAGTTCGATCCCCGCCTGCCCCAGAGGTGACCCACATGGCGCAGCAGACCTCTCCTGACCCACCCGCTGCTCCCCTCGCAGTGTACTTCGTTGATCTGCCTGTTCTGTTCCCCACTCTGTCTCTGGTGAATCCTTTCACCCTCCGCATCTCTGGCCTGTATCCCAGTTCTGTATAAATAAATAAATCTAAAAAAAAAAAAAAAAAAAGAATGCAGCATCTCAGAGCCTCTCTGGTGGCACAGGGGTTAAAGACAGCGCTATCAAGCTGTTGCCAGCCACTATAACACAAGTTTGGTCCCTGAACAGGGAGGTGACTCACATGGCACAGCAGACCTCTCTTGCCTCACCTATTGCTCCCCTCAACAGTGTATTTCCATAGACCAGCCTGTCCTGCTTCCCACTTAGTCTCTGGTGAATCTTCTCACACATACCCCCTCACATCTCTAGCCTACACCCCAGTTCGTATATGCATTAATAAATAAATCTTAAAGAAAAAATAGAAAAATGCAGCATCACAGACTCCACCCCAGGCCAATGTAAGCAGAAACTGCAAATTTTGGTTCATGGCAAAATGAGTGGAAAGTACAGAGAATACCCACATGCTCCTTCCTTCTCACTTGCACAACTTTGCCCACCGTCAACAAAACTCCCAGTGGTTCATTTGTGACAATGAATATACACCACGTATCATTATCAACCCAACGTCCACAGTTTACATTAGGGGTCACTCTCGGTTTTGTGTGTTCTATGGGTTTAGAAAAATGATAGTGACACCTACCCACCATAATAGCATCATATAAAGTATTTTCATGGCCGAAAAAAAATGCTACCAACCACATTTTAACAAGGCTCCCCTGTGACTCATACATTTCATGGAAGTTCAGTCAATACTGGCACAGACCATGTCACCCCACTAAAAACCTGTCCAATGTTAAGAGAAAAATTTAGTAGTAAGAAGACTATATATCTCAACTACTTTTCCCCCCCTCTACTTGGAAAGATCGCCAGTGTTCTGTTCTTGAAGCAGACCACTTTAGCTGCATTGTCTCATAGAAATATGGTCTAGGAATCAGTGCTCTAGACCAGCATCCTTAGATGATTACAAAAGATGAATGAACACCTAGTGTTTATGAAAGAGACTCCACCTAAGCTTTCCTTCTGGATCAGCTTTTTTATCCTGTAAAAATAACATTGCCTTTCCCTTCTTGATGGCCTGGGTTCTTGAACTAACTTGGCCACTGACTTGCCATGCTGTTCCCAGGCAGGATTTTGACCCTTAGTTTTCTCATCTCTAAAATGGACTGAAATGCCCTAAAGGTCCCTTCCAGATTACAAGGAAATAGCAGGTCACAGCACAAAGAATACCATCCCTTTTCTCTAAACCCTGAGGCAGTGAACTTAGTTAATTAAGATCCTGGAAGCTGCTTACCTTCAGAGTAGTGAAGATTCAGCAACAAGAGCTTCAAGAATATGAATACTGATATTAGACACTTCATTGTGAGATGCATGGCTGCTGCTGCCGTACAAGACGGAAAATGAAAGCAAAGAATTCTGAGCCAAGTGAGATTTGGGTACCTCCCAGTATGCACCAGTCTTGTGCAGTAGACAATTCAATTGCCTAAATAGCAGGTTCTGTTGTGATTTTTGCAAAATGACTGAGGAGAGGCCAGATGGTATAGACGGGCTTCCAAATAAAGGACTGTGGATTTATGTTCACAACCTGAAAAAGAAAAAATCACCCAAGAAATTAGGACAGCCTCCCATTGGGTCATAAAACTCCTGAGTCGCCAGTCTGAAATGAGTGGGGGATCTTAACTGGAGGCCCCTCTAAGTGCAGTCATAATGGTGAGAACCAGGCACAGGTCAGGGAACTTTGGGAAGGAGACACTTCTTTGTGCCAGTTCCAAGACCCGAGCAAAGCTCTTCCTATGGAATGGCTCTTGACTCAGTGAGAATGATTAGGACTTTGGTACAAACAGAAAATTCTATTGGCCCTCACTATCAGTCAGCTACCCCATGAAGTTCAGATCCTCTTCAAGAACATACCAAGAAACACTGAACACTGTGAAGGCATGTTTTGTACAAAGCAGCATTTAAATTATGCAAAATGTAGGGGGTAGAGGACTTTATATAACAGCAAATTCTATCATTTGAAAGGGAAGGAAAAAGAAACACTATAAGCAATTATGCATATTATGACCTATAAAGACAGGAAGATGATTTTTTTTTTTTTCAACAAAAACATCAAAGTTTAGAAATGAAAATGAATGCTCTGGCCAACATGATTCTCTCAGACTGCCATCACAAACACAGTTCCAGGGGACCCAAAGACTGTTTGGGTAAAGGATATTTTGGAACCACTCAGAGGCAGTTTTCCTGTCACACCAGATTCTTTTATTAGCCACACCCCATTAATCAGAATTTGTTTGGAGATAGTTATTTACCTGATTTTGACTGATTTGGAAAACTCAAATTCAGAAATTAATCTTGCTACCCTCTAAGAAATCTGAAACAATGGGTCATAACTCCGATGATGATTTTCCAAGTAGGTTGGGAAGCTGTAGCCTCCATGGGAATAAAAAACAGTACAAAGCCTCCTTTGGGGGCAAGTACGCACCTAAGAGGTAGGAATCAGAGTCAAGTTGTCGTATCTAATGAGTTCAACCACGCCATCGCATATGAAGTTCATAGTAAATGTACTTACTGTTGAAGAAATGTTTGTTTTCTCTAGTTGTAAAAATCAGAGGATGAAATTCCACTTGTGAGAACTTCTTTTGCTGTCTTTAAAGTAATGGCAAGCTACACACATCTTCTTTGGTTAATATATCAGTGAGGTGGCATTTCCCCTTCCAACTTCCTTTTTAATAGAAGGCTTTCTTCACCCACCAATACTTAGGTCAAGCAGTGTATGACTCTGGTGCAATGGGTGATTTAAGGAAGCTCCCCCACTGCAGTCCTTTTTAATTCCTCTACGTCCTCAGAGGGTGGGGCCAGGGCAAGCCATTCAGCAGTCTTCCCTCTCTACCACACACACACTCACAAACACCAAACACTACAGCAATCTCGAAGGGGAAGGAAGGCTCCACTGGACAGCCAGGGTTGGAGGGAAGAAAGGTGACGCACTAGTGGGAGGGGAGGTCTGTTGATTCTGTGTGGGCGATGGTCTGTGAACGTCATGGTGGCTGTTTCTGTCCTGGTCTGCAGTTTTGTATCAGCACCCAGAGTTACTCCTCCTTGTTGCAACCACACCACTGCAAGAGTGGACTGGTCTTCACCTCCATGGAGGGGGATACTTCTTGGAGAGTGCTCCGGTCACAGGGCCACCCTTAAAGGCACCCTTCTCTCCTGCATCCCCACTATCTTCACATAGAGGGCTCCTGGTGAGATGGTAATGGTCGTGATTGTCTTGCTTCTGCTCCTCTTGCAAGAACAGCAGGGCAGCCTTGGAACAAAGGGAAAAAATAGCCATCATTCAGAAGTTGACAAGTTGTGTTTCAGAATGCAGGCACAGAAGGGTGTTTGTAGCCTAGGCCCAAAATAGCCTTAGAAGACAGAACCAAGGTGTCTTACTCATGGTTAGTGGGACAATATTCAGGAGGGGTTCTCTGTGTGTAACACTTCTGGGCCCAGATTCAAGTTACACCCTGATTTAGTAGAAAGCAACCAATCAGACTCTACCAACCTGCATTTTCTATATTCTTCAATCCCATAAACGCTGCCCAAAGTCCCATCCTTTGGGAGACTGATTTGAGAGCCTTGCCTCCAGGCTCCTCCCAGGTGACCCCGTGCTAATCGGTTCTCTTTGCAAAAGCTGGTGGCATAAATTTTGGCTTTTGTGCCATAGGGGTAGTGGACCCACATCCAGCAACACTGGTAGCCCTGATGGACAGTGTACCCCAGTTAACCCAACCATGGCCAGTGCACCTCCGCTGAGCACAGTGACAAAACCAAATGGTGGAGCAAAGAAGATTTAAGTCCCTCCCCCATTTCCCACTCCCTCTGGAAACTTCTGTGGGTAAGCAACTGACTCATGATAGTTGACTTGACCTGTTTTGTGCAGGCAGAATCTGAGCACACATTGCTCAGGTCTGTGCCTTTCACCATTTGCTTCTCACCCCAGTACCTCTGTGTCTTGGCATGGAATAACTTGGAAGATCTGCCCTCAAACATGTGCAGCCTGGACATTTGGGGGCAGTTAATGTCCATAAGGGTACATTTGACAAAAGACTGGAAGCTGAAGGATAACCATTTTCCCCTCTTGACACCCAGACGGCAAATTCTGGAAACTGTTTCATGAGGTTCTCTAGAAGGTGCCAGTTCCCTGCAGCAGCGGTGCCACTGGCAAGGCCTGCTTACACTGGTGTTGCCTCCTTACCCTCTTCACTCCTGCCCTGCTACTCTAAACTCACACTCCAACAATCTACTTCATTCACGTCTGGCCTCTACCTTTGCTTTCTGGAGATTCTAGATGAAAGCAGTGATTACCCTGTATTCGTAAAGATAAAAGAAGTTTCCTTCTAAAATAAATTTGTTAGAAATAGAAAAGCAAGGCAATTCAGAGGAAAAAGGAAATGGTAGCAAATATGGTAGGTGAATGTGGTAAACACTATGAATATTCAATGAGGCAGCTCTTAGTAACAGCTTAAGACTTAGAAAACACACTTGCCTGGCAAAAGTCACAGTTTAAGTTGCCACCCAACCCATATTTTTCAGTATTAAGGAGGGCACTGAGATTCCTTGAAATAAATAGCTGCTGATTGGGAAAGATGCCAGCTGAGCTCTCTGGGAGGCCATAGTATGAGGAAGGGTGAAAATCACCCTGAAGGAGGAGAAGGGAAGAATGAAGACTTTTCTACTTGTGACCATGCTTTGGCTTCGATCAGGCCTGTGGTGTGGCCTTCCTGAAGGGAATATGTCTCAAGCCTTGGAAAATGGTTGCCTGCACAGAGACAAACCTTTCATAGACTGAGTGGCAGCTTATGTGAAGTGATCTGATGGGTGCACTTCTGCATTAGCTCTCCTGAGTAGCATCCACAGTATTTGCATGCCTTTACCGAGATACATTTATTTTGGCAAAAGCAGCATCCTCAAACTGAGGTACTTGTAGATTTTCAAAGGATAGATGGGCACTGGTCATTTTAAGAGGATCAATGTGCTCTTTCCTAAAACTTAACTGCAGTAAGCAGTTATCCTTCTCTGTGTTTGGAAAGGAAGACATACCTCTCAGCCAATTAGAATGTTACTGTAGTACAATATTCTGGAAAGTAAGTCGGGGCACACATTAAAGAGACGATTTGAGGCTCTCCCTGATGGCACAGTGGATTAAAGCTCAGCACTGAGAGACTGTCTGCTGCCACTGTGGCACAAGCTCTATCCCCAGCCAGTGAGGTGACCCACATGACGTGGCAGACCTCTCCTGGACCACCTGCTACTTCCCTCAGCAGTGTGTTTTAGTAGATCTGCCTGTTCTGCTTCCCACTCTGTCTCTGGTGAATCTTCTCACCCCCTGCACCTCTGGTCTGTACCCCAGTTCTTGTATCCATAAATAAACAAATCTTTAAAAAACTTTTTTAACAAAAAGACAATTTGAAATACTGGTGCACTGATTCTGGCATTTTACTTCATCCCAGTGACAAGTTCATGGTGATAGCTAATGGCCAGGGTGCCTGTTTTCTTTGATGTGATGAGTTGATCTAGTCTTACTGGTACATTTTGAAACCCTCCAGGAGAATCTTTCATTTGCATTATGCAAATCTGGTATTCAGTCTTAGCATGGTGATGTGTGTACAATGGTTTAGTAGGAGAGAAAAAGGCAACTGTGAGAAACTTAGTAAGCAAGCTTGAGGGGAAGGCAGTTCATCCTCAGCACTGAAGTGAAAACCAGCAACTGTGCATCAATCAGGGAGGAAATGTCAACCTAAACCGTCACCCTAGATATTACTTTTTTTTTTTTTAAATCTTTACATGTGCTTGCATTACTTCTGGAATTCTGGCAATATTTATGTTCTTAATTCTTCTTCATAAATCAACGCAGGTGTAATTTTTCTGGAAGCCTTCTCTGAACACCTTAAGCTGAAATGTCTCTTTTCATATTTGCCAAGTTTGTACCTGGAACATCCTCCTTGTCATAGTCCTCTTGGCCTAATTTCATTACATTCTATCAAGTTTTCTCTATTGCAGATTTTTGCCCCAGCTCTGTCTTTACAAGAAGCATCTAGCAAACTGTACCTAACACATTTTATATGCTGCTAATGGGGCACAGAGCAAGTTGCCTCAAATCATGCACATTGCTATGTTGGTTATTTTAAACTAAAATTGAGTCAGAAACAGCTGGTGCGAAAACACCATATCACTCTTTCATCCTGTAAAGAGGAGATGAGTTCCCTATATGAAAAGTACGCATTCTCCTTGTAACATAAAGGGAGAAGGCACTCTTCTCACTAGAGATAGGGATTTATACCTGGAAAAAATTTAAGAACACACTTTGTTACTTCTTTATCAATTTACAAACTCTCCTTTCTTCTCAATTCTATTTTGCCTAAAATGGTAAAAAACTGAATGCTCTTGTCACTCCTCTAAGTTCCATATTTACAGGCCTCCATACATATGATTTAAAATTTTTTTCCCTGTTAATCTGTCATATGTCAGAATTATTTTTAGATCTACCGAAGAAACTATTAATAGAAGGAAGAACTGAGTTTTCTCCCCTACATTGTATCAAGGAAGAACTGAGTTTTCTCCCCTACATTGTATCAGTCAGGATTCTCCAGACTAACAGACTATAACATAGTATTATGCATATATAGATATACACCTCTATATCTATCTACCTCTCTCTATCACAAGAGAGATTAAGAATTTGGGGTCCTCCCTGGCAACAAGTAAGGACGCAACACTGCAAGCTGGCTGTAGCTGCCTCAGTGCAAGTTTGATGCCCGGCCCAGAGGTGATCCACATGGTCAGACCTCTCCTGACCCACCCGCCGTTCCCCTCAGCAATGTACTTCATCAGTCTGCCTGTTCTGCTCCCACTCTGTCTCTGGTGAATCCTCTCACCACCCCTGTACCTCTGGTTGGTTTGTACCCCAGTTCTGTATGCACAGATAAATAAATCTTAAAAAAAAAAAGAATTTGGCCCATGTGACTGTGAAGGTTGGTAAGTCCAAAATCCACTGGGTGGGGTGCCAGCAGGCTAGAGATACAGGTGAGAGCTGAGTCAGAAAGCAGTGTCTGAGCTGTCTGCTAGCAGAATTCCTTCCTTGGGGAAGATCAGTGTTTTTCTATTAAGGCCTTCAACTAAATGAATAAGGCCCATTCACATTATGAAAGAAAATCAATTTTATTCAGTATCTACTGATTTCAATGTTGAATTTATGTAAAAAAACAAAAACAAAAACAAAAACCTTCACAGAAATATCTAGTGAAAATTTTGACCAAGTATTACCTAGTCAAGCTGACACATAATATTAATCACAGATGTTTCCTCAGTCTTGTGAAGTGAATTGATGATATGTGAACAGTTGCTTTTACCTATTTATCCTGTGTTAGCTTTCTTCCATTTTTCTCCTGAATAACCTTCACTCTTTCCTTATTTAAATTCATTTCAATAAGCATATGTTGAATCTTGTTTGCGATGTTTTCCTCTGAATATGACTCTTTCTTGTGATGTTTTCCTTTGAATCTTTGTTATTCTGTGTCTGCTAACCAGTTCAAGGGGCCCTGATAGTAACCATTTCCTGTTAGCTCCAGCTTTTTTTGTTTATGCTCTTAGCATTTAAGTAGACATATATTCTTGCCCCATGTCTGCAAATATTTTTCAATTATCCTTGTTTTTGTTTTCCTTTTTGTTGAACCATGGCCATGGTGTGGGGGAAGCAACTGATCACCAGGGCCTCATCTCTCTCTGTATCTACCTGAAAGAGAGTTTATTCTGGAGGCCTTAACTGAAAATTTGGAATCAACCATATACAGTAATCAATACTATATGATTCAAAATGACCGAGATAAAAGAAATCCAGAGCTCGTAAGATATTGCCCTAATTCTGTTTGAACAGATAGTCTAAATCATGAATTGTCTAGTCCAAACAATTTGGGGCAACACATCTTCTCCCACCAAGAGCTGGCTCTCTGAGGCATGAGTCTAGTGAAGCCTGGCCCGGTTCAACTACAGGGAGAGCTCTCTGGTGAATTCTTTCTCTAGAGGGCAAAGAACCTACTCTTTGCCAGGACAAATACTTATGGTGCATAGTTCAGTGATTAAACAAAAGTATATAAAATTGTATATAAAAAAACATATAATTTTTCTCAAACAATATGTGCATTAAAAACTGTAAGTATAAACAAAGTGGTGGGATGTGCTTTATAAATTTTTCTACATACGTATATACATACACATTTGTTTGTAAATTTACATATACATATATAAGTTATTTTCAAGGATTAAAAGTGTATCTTCTCTCTCTAGTCCCAAAAAAACTCTCATTAGTCTCTTGAGAGATAATTATAATCATTACTAACAATTTGGTCTCTATTCTGTTTTTCACACACACATCTCTTTCGTTCCCCCACATAAATACAACCATATATATTTCCTCATTTTAAAATGTGACTTTTTTTTGAACAGCAAACTGTCTTTTAAGTTCTCCTTATGTGGGGCTTACTTATCCAGAGTCTACTGGCTTATTTATAAATAATCAGTCTAGTCATTTCATTTATATAGGAAAACAAAACAACTAAGAGGGGCGTAGAGAGGGTCACACCTGAGTCACCGACAGTCACACAAGGCAGCTTCCCAGCCGCGCCATCCAGTCCGCCTCCAGGCTCGCTCGGCCCTCCCAAACCACAGTGGCTCTGATTCAGGTCCCCGCCCTTCCGCTCGGCCCGAAGGCCGCAGAGCAGCAGGGAAGCCCTTTAGAGGCCCGACATTGGCTCAAGGAGAGGTTGGTCAAGCGGAAGGCTCTGGACACCTGTTTGTGGTCTGTTGAGCCCGGGCGAGGTCCCCCACGCTGCGACGCCCCTGGCCGGGCTCTACCGCTAGGCTCCCGGAGGCTCGGCCCGGCGTGTCCGCACTCGGGGGCAACTGGACCCTGCGGCCCTGGGGCTGCAGCCCCACCCCGCCCCGCCCTAGGCGCGCGCGCTCTAGGTACCCGACCTCGCACCGGGTCGCGCTCGTCTCCTGGCGGCACCAGGTCGGACTCCACCCCTTCCGCGGCCCTACTTTGCGCGGTCCCCCAGACCTCCCGGCTGTGGGTACACCCCGTCCTGACCGCCGGTGAGCGCCATTCTGGTGGAGGTCAGGTGTCCGGCACCCCGCACCCCCTGCCCCCGAACGGGAATCGTCCTGAGCTTGGCGGGCAACTCACTGTGATCCCCACAGTCGTCCTCCCGCCCCCACTCCGGTGGCTCCCCTTCATTCCTATATCCCGCCCCAACACACACGACAAAGAGAGGACTTTGGGGAAGTAGCTACCCAGACCCTAGTTCTGAATATGTAGCTCTGGGCGAAAAATGTAAACGGCCGGAGTTCAGTGGAATTTGAGGGAAAAGGCACTGGAAGCCGGCTGCTATGGCAGTAAGTGAATATTACCCAAGGAATTTCCCACAGAATGGGTGAAGGTCCCCTGTCGCTTGCAAAAACACACTTTAGGTAGAGAGAGGACTTACAGAACGGAAACTGAAGCCTCTGGGAAAGAGAGTACAGGGTGTCACAAGTTCGTTCTCAGAAGCCAGTTAAACGTGACCTCTGAAGCTCTTAGTCCAGAATTAGGGCGTGGGGGCAGGGAGGTTTTATAGTCCCTGTTCAAGCTGTCTCCTTCCCCCAACGCTGCCAACTGGATGGGTTGCTTGTCTACAGCCACCTAGCAACCCATAATTCCCGTTCCTAGGCATCATTTATAGATAATAAATTATGTAAATGACATCTAACAGCTATCCTTTATGGAAGAAATACGGCATGGTCAGATGTTCCATTCAGGCCATTTTAATCATTTACTCTTCCCAGGTTCTTGCCAACCTGCACTCCTTGGCCCACAGCAGGTACAACTGAAGGATTCCTGAAAATCCTAGGACTTGAACTAAGCTCTGAATAAACAGGATTAAGGTAAGCAAGAAAGACATCTTGGGTGGAGAAGGAGTTTGAGCTGAGGAAAGAATGAGCTAAGTCACCCATGTTTAAAAGCGTTTGCCTGGCAGGTGCAAGTGGTACTTGGGTGAATGAAATGGGACTAGGTGGGTGGGGGTGGGAGGGGTTCTTACAGGAAAACTAGGACTTGATTGGTACCAAGTCTATGGAATGAATATTAGCTGATAGCCTCAGAACCTAGAAGTCAACTATTGAGAAGAAAAGTAATTAAATATTGAAAGGACTGTTGTATGGAGAAAGTATTCTCATTTAATAATAGAAATATGCAAATAGTTAGGACGCAGCACAGTGCAAGTTCTATCCTCACCCCTGAGTTGATCCCCATGGCACTGCAGACCTCTCCTGTCTCTCTGCTGCTCCCCTCAGCAGTGTACTTTGTCGATCTTCCTGTTCTGCTCCCCTCTGTGTCTCTGGTGAATCCTCTCACCGCCCCTGCACCTCTGGCCTATACCCCAGTTCTGTATGCATAAATAAACAAATCCTTTTTTTCTCCCTGGTTGTGTATGCATAATCAAAATAATGCTTACCAGATGGTAAGCACTGTTCTAAGAGTTTGGCAAAATTAGTTCATTTAAGCCACACAATAAACCCAGGAAGTTGTTATTATTTCTGTCATCATCTTATAGTTGTGGAGGCGGAAGCACAAAAAGAGTGCCCAACGTATGTTATGTGCTGAGACAGAGTGGTCTAGATCCTTCTAGATTCAGAAGACTGGGCTTCTTAGATTCACACTCCCTGGTAGTGTGAATTTACTCTCTTTGAGCCACGGCTTTCTTATCTGTGAAAAGCACACACTGTCATCCCTGCCAACTAGGGAGCTGGGAAATGTATAGGTGCTTTCTGAACCATGTATCATAACACCAGTGGAAAGTATGATGGTTTAAGTAAAGGAGGTCAAATGCCACCTAAAAAGAGAAAATGATAATTTGACTTGACTTGTGGAACTTAATGGGCTCGTTACTCAAAAAGGTAAAGATGGGGTTGTAGTTAAAATCATGGACTTTGGAGTCAAGTGAACCTTAGATGGCATGGTAGCCCTACCACTTAAAAGCTCTGTGCCCCAAGACAAGTCACTTAACAGTTATGAAACAGCATTATCTCTGTGATCCTTTATTTACTTCTCTATAAGATGGGCCTTACACATTCCTCAGACAGCTGTTGTGAAGATTAAATGTGATACCTTTATGTAGTGCTGATGCATACTCAGTGTCCAGAATGTAGATAGGACTGTGATTCTTTTCCCCAGAGTCTTTATATTCTGTGTGTCTTAATTCTCTCCCAAAGACAGCCTCACCATGTGTGACGGGCTAATCGAGAAGTATGTGGCTGCCATGGTGCTGAGTGCGGCTGGAGACGCCTTGGGATATTTCAATGGGAAGTGGGAGTTCCTCCGGAGTGGGCAGAAGATCCACCAGCAGCTGGCCCAGCTTGGTGGCTTGGATGCCATCGATGTGGAGAGGTGGAGAGTCAGTGATGACACAGTAATGCACCTTGCCACGGCAGAAGCTCTTGTGGAAGCCGGGAAAATCTTGGACTTGGGCCAACTGTATCCTCTCCTTGCTAAGAATTACCAAAACTGCATGGGAGACATGGATGGTCGGGCACCAGGTAAGCAGCAGTGTTGGTCGTAGGCAGGTGGAAAATAAAACAGATCCGGAAAGCAGTAAAATATTGATTGAGATTTAAGTATTAACAAGACAGTAGTTTTGTAGCTGTGATTTTAAAATAGAAATAACCTAAATGCTCCATAACTCATTTAATCATGGGGACATCTTTACAGCTTTAAAGCTAGATGAATTTTAAAAACTAGATAAATAGGGCCCTCCCTGGTGGCGCAGCGGGTTAAAGCACAGCACTAAGAAGCTAAAGCCACTTCAGCAGGAGTTCGATCCCCGCCTGCCCCGGAGGTGACCACATGGCGTGGCAGACCTCTCCTGACCTGCCCGCTGCTCCCCTCAGCAGTGTACTTCGTTGATCTGCCTGTTCTGCTCCCTGCTCTGTCTCCGGTGAATTCTCTCACCATCCACACCTCTGGCCTGTACCCCAGTTCCATATGAATAAATAAATAAATCTTAAAAAAAAAAAAAAACTAGGTAAATATCTACTGACATGGGAAAATATTATATATATTAACTCTTTTAGACTACAAAACAATATTATCTTATGGACAGACACACACACACACACACACACATATCTGACAAGCAGTCTGGAAGAATATACATTAAGATGTTAATAACCTCTTCTGATTGATGAGAATATCATTTACTTTCTCTGTTTATTTGTATTTTTTTTTTTTATAACAAACAACTGTATGGAGAAAAAAAATTTGTAAGAAAAACATAAAGGGTCTTGTAGAGATTCTCTCTCTGGCCCTAGTTCTACAAATCAGTGGTTCTTACCCACTTGTTGAATTTGCTGCTGCCACGCGGACCACCTTTTCCGTGTCCCATCTGAGCTGCCTCTCCTCCGGGACAAGGCAGCTTGGTGCCACAGCAGGGTCTTAGACTGGTGGTTTAAATGACAGCCATTTGTTCTCATTTATTCTCAGAAGATACAAGTCTGAGATCAGGTGTTGGGAGGTGTGGTTTCCTTTGAGACTTGTTGACCTTTGTCTCCTCTCACAGCTCACCTTCCTGGTATTTCTTTTTGTGTTCAAATTTCTTCTTCTTATAGAAACACTAGTCATATTGAATTAAGGTCTTACTGGTTTATTTTAACTTCATCTTCTCTTTCTCCTTTTTTAAGATTTATTTATGCATACAGGACCGGGGTGCAGGCCACAGGTGTGGGGGTGAGATGATTCACCAGAGACACAGTGGGGAGCAGAACTGGTAGACCTATGAAAAAACCACTGCTGGGGGGAGCAGTGTGAGAGACAGAGAGGTCTGCTGTGCTCTGTGGGTCACCTACCTGGCTGGGGATCGAATTTATGCCACAGAGGCTGCTGATACCTTGATGGTACTGAGAATTTGACCCCTGTACCTTTAAAGGGCCTAACTCCAAATGCAATCACTTTCCGAGTTAACTAGTGGTTAGATCTTGAACACATGAACTTTGGGAAACACAGTTTAGCTCATAGTAGCTCCTGATGAATTCCCCTCCTAACACACATGCACACATACTAAGCTAGGGACCTCCAGTCACCCCAAGATTATTTAAAGAAGCTGGTCTTTGTTTATTCTTTCTCAATATCTGATAGCTCATCAGTTTGGCAAGTAGAAAGTTTTCTATGTCTACTTTTGCCATGGAGGCCTTCCATCCATCATTGGCAATAAAGTGACCATCAGGCAACAGTGATCCACACCCCATGTTACTACTGCTGCTTGTGACTCATTCATGTATTCTCAGCTCCCAGCAGGCCAGAGAGACATACATGCCTGATTTCTGTTAGCAAGGGCGCTTGCCCAGAATCCACTGCTCCTCTTTTGAATCCGCTCTCTGCACTTGAACTTGTCACCTCTTTCTGATATTCAGGCACTCCATTTGTCAACTTCTCTTTGAGCTCTCAAAGACCTTGAGTTTAAAGTCTGATGTTTTGCAGGGCATGGACCAGCTAGTTACATGGTTTTGAGCAAGGGTCTTCAACTCTGATCTTTAGCTTATTCATTTAAAAAAGAGATTAATGTTATACATACCTGTTTGAATTAGTGTTAAAAATGGTGGGGGGAGGGAAATGCACTGGACTTTGGTGATGGCACATGGGTGATTGGTGATGGGAAGCCCATGGGGATTGCAGCTGGGATGGAAAAAGGCACAAAATGATGTAAAAACAAACTATTTTATTATTTTTAAAAAGAGAGATTAATGTTATACTTACCTGAATTAATGTTATGTCTCCATAAAGATTCTCTTTATGAATCTTCGCTTATTACCAGGCTCAGTGTTACACCTATCCACAGAGGGCAAACTCAAGATGCATAAAACTAGATAATTCCAAACCTTAGACATACTATGTTTCCTACATAATTATGGTAGTTTAATGTATAAATTAGGCACAGAAAAAAAAAGAGTAACAACAATAATTAACAAGAAAATAGAATCGTGATAACAATCTGCTGTCCTAAAAGTTGTATGAATATAGTCTCTCTATCTCTTTGAAAATATCAATGTAATATTTTTGGACCGCAGAACTGAAACTGCAGGAGCAACCACAAATCGGAGGGGACTCCTATTTATAGTGTGAGGGGCAACGTTGGCTTAGGGTTTAAGGGTTGAAGGTCCTCGTTACATTTTTTGACTTTCATTTTCTATCAAAGAAATTTGGAGCTCGAGCTGGCTTCATTCCTTCTGCTGGGCCTGTGACCCTGCACCCATCCACCTCTTTCCAGGTGGTGCCTCAGTGCAGAACGCCTGTCGTCTGGAACCAGACAAGGCCAATGGCTGGAGGATTCCCTTCCACAGTCATGAAGGCGGCTGCGGGGCTGCCATGCGGGCCATGTGCATTGGTCTCAGGTGGCCCCACCCCAGCCAGCTGGGCACACTGATCCAGGTGAGCATCGAGAGCGGCCGAATGACCCACCACCACCCCACAGGCTACCTGGGAGCCCTTGCATCTGCTCTCTTTACAGCCTATGCTGTCAATGGCAAGCCACCCAGGCAATGGGGAAAAGGACTGATGATGATACTGCCAGAAGCAAAAAAGTATATTGTCCAATCAGGCTACTTTGTGGAGGAGAATCTTCAACACTGGTAAGTTGTAGGTCCACGGCTGCTAGAAATGGTGGAATCTGTGTGCCCACAAGCATGCATATGTATATTCCTAGGATGCCTAGGTCATGGCAACTGTCAACGCTCCCACCATCACTTTCTCTTCTACTGCATCTGGTGGCACTCCTGTACCTGCCAAGAAGTGCAAGTTCAGTTTCAGCAGCATTTGCTACGAAGTAGCTGAGTGAGCACTTCAGTGAGCTGTAGTGCACCCCTCTTGTGTGGAGATCCTCTTCTGTGCTCCAGCTTTCTATAGTTCTTGTGGTTATTCTAGAATGAGGTGAGCTCAGTTCCTGCTCATTGCTGGAATTTGTTTTTTTCAGTGTTGTCTTGACACACAAGCAAAATTTGGAAATCCTAGTTTAGCATAACCAAGAGTTAGGTTTTTCCACTAGCTAATTAATAAGACTTAAGACCACATCTTCCCCTTTCTTTGAGTTTAGTTCACATTGTCTTTCTTGGAACAAAAAAGTCCACAGACTTTCTGCTAATATCACCTTTGGTCATAAAAGTTCTAAAGTTCCTTTTTGGGGGGAAAAAAAAAGCAGTGTGACTGTATCAGATGATGTGTTAACTGGCTTGACTGAAGTAATCATATCATGATTTGTTATACATAACAAATCATGTTCTATACCTTAAATATATATATATATATATATATATAATTTATATTAGGAAGATAAAATAAATAATAAAATATATATAATGACAGACTAAATAAAGTTCCTCTCTTGAAAGGTAACATAACATTACTCAAAAAAACAAACAGAACCTTTATTGCTCGCTGTAACTTGATAGATGTCTTTCTTATTTAGCTACAGACATGATTGGCTTATTTATTTGAACACCTAGCAAGTTTTTGAATGAATGTCACAGCTCCTTTTGATTTTTTGCATTGTTTATGACATTAATAGAAAAAGTTGAAATCATCTTGGAATTTTCCTTACTCACATATCCATCTGGCACCTTTCCTTATGAGTTTATTTTTTCAATTGATTATAGATTTCTTTCTTCCTACAGGTCTTACTTCCAAGACCAATGGGAAAAATACTTAACACTTAGAGGGATTTTGAGCGGCAAGTCAGCCCCTACTTTTCCTCAGCCCTTTGGTGTGAAGGAGAGGGATGAGTTCTACACCTCTGTGAGCTACTCAGGCGTGGGTGGCAGCAGTGGCCACGACGCCCCCATGATTGCCTACGATGCCATCCTGGCTGCTGGAGACTCCTGGAAGGAGCTTGCACACCGGGCTTTTTTCCACGGTGGAGACAGTGATTCTACAGCTGCCATTGCAGGCTGCTGGTGGGGCATCATGTATGGCTTTAAAGGAGTGAGCCCCTCCAACTATGAGAAACTTGAGTACAGAAACCGACTAGAAGAGACAGCCAGGGCTTTATATTCTCTTGGGTCAAAGGAAGATGCTGGAATTGCCCCTTAGGGACTGTGACACTCATTTCTGTTGATTTCTCCTCAGGTATAGTTCCTTTTCTGTTAGATTTCTTTCACTTTTTCCAAAGTCAAGAGTTTCAACATTGTATTCAGATATTTTTTAAATAACTTGTCCCTTGGACACCTGATGTTCAGTCTTTCCAAACTCATTTGTTTTCCTGAATCTGTATTTCTTCTTATCCTGAAGAGTCTTACTTTCAGGTGATGGGGTCAGTGTCTCCCACGCCTGAGTCTCATAACCTTATATTAAAGTCTTCATTTTCATCATCTGGTCTTTGGACTAAGTTTTTTTCAAGTTGGGTTTCTTGCCAAGTAAACCTGAGACAAATATTTGAGCACATGTAGTTTATGTGGGAGACGATTCCAGGAAGCACTGGTAAGAGAATGGGGAAGTGAGACGGGGAAGGGGCAGGGTAGCCAGGACAAGAGGTGTCAGAGAGTAGGTTCCCACAGTGGGCAGTTGGGACTCAGTCCATTTGGGTTTTCTGCTACATGGCTCTCCTCAGGGGAACACTCTGAGGGACATGCAAATCTGGGCTGCTTATACTCCAAGTCCTATTTGATACAGCTTGGAAACCAAAGACTCCCAGAGATACTATTCCCTGGGCTCTTCTTGGCTTGCATCTTGTGACTCAGAGATGCTTACCCTGGAGAGCTGTCCGTGCGTAACAGGGTACAGGGTATATGTGGGGTCCCAACAGAATCTGCTAGAGAGTTTACCTTCTAAACATCCTTTAGGATGTGGCCTCTTGTGCCTGTATTTCCCTTTTGCATTTCTGCAGTCCAAGCTATTCAATTTCTGTCTGGGTAGATGTTGCTTCTAGCAGCTCTTTGTCTTATCCCAGGCATAGCCCTTAACACATTTCCAGCTTTTTGTTGTTGCTGTTGTTGCCTATTTGCTTGTCTTTATTCTTCTCTAGACAGAAAAGGAGCCTGTGCACACAGAGAGGCTAATCAGTATAGTCAAGAGTGTTGACAGCTAACCTGTCTGGTGCCTCCAACTCCTCCAGTCTTGCTTTCCTCTTTCTTCTCCAACGGTAACATCACGGATAATGACTTGATCACTCTGAATTTCTAGTCATGTCTAATGACCACGTCATTCCCTTGTTTTCATTTCCTGACGCTTGTCCCTCTCCCTCTCACCTGATCAAGCCCAGCCCAGGCACAGCCTTCTTAGGGGAAACCTGCACGGATCATTCAAGCACTCGGCCCATTCTCCTCACTATATCCCAGCCCTGTGGCCTCAGCCCCGTCACCCCACTGACCCTGATGTGTGCAGATTGAGTGTCTTCAGGGGAAATAGCAGACTCCTTGTGAGGGGCAGTTTCTTATTCTCTGAGGCCTCCCTGCTTGTCCCTTGAGAGACCTTCAGAAAGTATTGACTTTTGTAACATCATCAAGTTGTGCTGGCATGGATGCTTTCAACATGCAGTTCTACATCTGCTTTCTATGCCCTCTACTTCAGGATTGCCAGATGTCACCTGGCCAAGAGGTGCTGGAGAGGTGGAGAATTTGGTGCTCTCACCATGCCATTGTGCTGACTTAAATGAGACTCTGTGTTTGCAGCAGGACTCCACCAAAGGCACAAGACTTGTCATTCTTCTATGTTTAAATGAAGGACATTCCGAAGCTCTTTTTCTGCTTAAAAAAAGTCTCATGGATTTATATATTTCAGAAACCAAATGTGTCATTTTAAGTAATACAGCTAGGGCAAAAGATATCTTAGCAGGAAAGCCAGTCAGAATGGCAGGATTTTACAAGTGGAGGATTTACAGTTCACATAACAGTAAAAACTGGAAGTAAGAATCCCAGTCCCGCTCAGTTAAAAAATTAATGTGATGTCCGCCTTCCTCCCCACCATCAGTCTAGCCTGGGCCTAAAAGAATTAGAAGAGAAATGAGGCCATGAACACATCTACTCTGCCTGTCCCTCTTCTGGGGTTCTCTGCTCCTCTCCCTGTGTTGACTTCAGGCCCTCCTCATGGGCAAGAAATACTGCAGTCAGCTGTCCTCTGAGGTGCCATAGGAAGGGAGCACCCTCACTGGACAAGTCCACAGGTGAATGCAGGCTGCCCCACCCATTGCTGTCTTTACAACCCCACCCCTCAAGTAAGCCCTGAGGACAGGACAGGCTGTCCAGCAGACACCAGCTCTGAAACAGATGCTGCTATCACCTTCATGCAGTCATCCTCAGCTCAGCTGGTTGGTCCTTACTTAATTTGTTTTGAAGGTAAGGAAGAGCATCACTCTCCATCCCTTTTTAGGAAAGGAAGGAAAAAACCCCATAGAACTACAACTCTCAGGATTTTCCCTTCAGATCCATGGTTTTCAGCTGGGGGAGGTGAAGAAAGAAGGTTTGATAGCAGAGAAGTCCCCTAACTCTTAGTAAGTCTTTCCAAATCCTTCTAGTCTCTTAAAATGTGATGGGGGGTGGAGGTGGGGTGGAGGAAAGAATAGGAGTCAAGTAAGGAGGGTGGGGCTTGACAATGGCTGTTTTTCCCTGCAGGACTTCCTTACAATGGAGATGACTGGGAAAGACTCTTTAGAGAGCCTCTTGTATTTGCTTTGTAGATTCTCACTAATTATCACAGGCAAACCTCAGTAAGAGTTTAGAAGGTACTGGTAGTGACTACAGGCTCCCCACCCCCTACTGTAGTCTTGTGTCTGGAGACTTCTGTCCAACAATCATGCATAAACAGAGGGACTTAGGAATCAATTCAAAAGACCAACCCAACAGGCTAAAATTTGACCAAGCGAGATCCCTGCCTGATCCGTTAAAACTCTCCTGTACCCTGATCCTTGTGGCAAACAGCTCTGCATTGCCCCTTGGTCATGCACCAAAATCATGACTTGTGTTCTCAAATAAGTGCACCTTTGATTTGAGTACAGCCTGATTGTTTCTCTCAGGTTGACACTGTGCACCAAAAACAGTAGGTTGCACATAAAATTACCTGAGATGATTAGATGCTCTCTAGAAGTCTTGGTAATTTTTTTTTTTAAATCTGCAAAATTAGCATTGACTTCATACCCTGTCTCCAATAATCTTCAGTCACAACATTCTCTATTCTTCTTCTGTCTTAACCTCTCCTATGCAGGTGAATGTGCATATATTTTTTAAAGATTTATTTATTTATGCATACTAACAGGGATATAGGCCAGAAGTGCAGGAGCAGTGAGAGGATTCACCAGAGACAGAATGGAGAGCATAAAGGCAGATTGATGTTCACTTTTGAGAGGAGCAGTAGGTGAGACAGGAGAGGTCTGTTGTGCCATGTGGGTCATCCCCATGGCTGGAGATCAAACTCATGCTGAAGTGGCTGTGATTAGTTAGCTTCATAGTGCTGTGCTTTTGACCCCTTGTGCCACCAGGAAGGGCCTGAATGTGCACCTTTTTTAAACAGTTACAGAATTATTGGGGGTTTGAAGGAACAAGTGAAGACTCTGGTGACTTCACAGCCAGCCAGCTAAAGACCAGCATCTCCAGGAGTGGATCCTAGGGTCTGGCTGAGTAAGGAAGGATAAAGACATAAAATAGACGGGGAACAGGGCCAGAGATAGTGAGAGGGGCATAACATGGTCCTCATTTTTTCATCTTTGAGGTTTGGGAATTGAGAAAAGGAGTAGATGTTTGAAGAAAAAGAAGAAGAGGAAGAACAAGGTTGCCACGTATCAGGCAGCTCAAGAAATTTAGGTCTCGGAGAGGCCTCATTCTATCCAAAGTCACACAGCTTGGATGTAATGGAATCGCAGTTTTAACAGAGGCGCTGGCAGAGTGGTGTGTCTGAGAGGGCAGGGAGCCTCAGGGCCTGTCCCTACCCCTTGTCCTGTGCTTCTCTTCCATCTTCATGTTCATCTGTTATATTTTATGACTTTTTAAAGATGATAAACTAGTAAATGTGGATAAATTACTTTCCTGAGTTCTGTCCTCTGCTCTAGTAAGTTAATCAAACCCAAGAAGGGGGTCATAGGGAACCTCTAATTCATAGCCCATTGGTCATACACGCAGGTGCCAATTCCAAATTCGAACCCGCGCTCTGTAATTTACTAGCTAGTGATTTAACCTAATTCTGTCTTTGTTTCTACTTGTGTAAAATGGGACTGGTAGTAGTACCTGTGCTGAGGAACTGCTTTATATTTTATATAAATTAGTTTGTGGCATTAAAAGAACTCAAAAAATAATAAAAGGTGAAAGAAAATACTATCTACATATCAACTGGTACATTTTTGTTGTTGTTAATGTTTCTTCAGCCTGGCATGAAATGGGAAACCCAGGGAGGCTCCTAAGCAAATTGCTTCCAACTGCTTTCTTTTACTACCCAAGGGGACCCCCACATTCTCTTCCTCTTCCAACTTCTCAGGGGTCTGCCTTTCAGTACTGCACACCCAATGATAAGCTATCAAATTTCACAAATAATTTTACTTTGAAGTTAGGAGATCTTGTAGAACAAAGGTTGAACTTTAGCATCAAACTGCTTTTACATAGCTTCAATTTTTAGTTTGTCAGCATTTGGAGGTTCATAGATAACTGTGGGGCATGTAGCCTCTCTGTGCTGGAAAAACAACACATGGCCTTTTGTCTGGATAAATGTAAAACAGGCTGTACATATTCTTCCCTGGGGAGACAGAAGATAGAGTGTTTATTTTTTAGATTTTTGGTTATACATTCAGAACTGGGGTACAGGCCGGAGGTGCAGGGGCAGTGAGAGGATTTACCAGAGACAGAGTGGAGAGCAGAACAGGCTGACTGATGAAGTACACTGCTGAGGGGACTAGCAGGCGTGGTCACGAGAAGTCTGCCACCCCAGGTGGGGCTTGGCTGGGCATCGAACTTAGCTGAAGCACCTGTGGCAAGCTTCCCAATGCTGTGCTTTAACCCGTTGTGCCACCAGGGAGGGTCTAGAATATAGAGGGTTTTAAAGCACAAGTGAAAATTATGTGGTTTGGGGGACATCAGGCTTGAGATGCTCTCTTTCTCCAAAAGAAATCACACCATCCAGTGGTTGCTCTGTGAAGAGGCACGTGCCAACTGGCTGCCTGTCCTGTGATTGCACTTCTGTGAGGCTGACACATGGAACACATCCACCAAAATCCTGCTCTTCGCCTCAGGTTGGAGGGAATCTAGCACAAGGTAGGGCCTCTGAAAATGAAGTAAAATAGGGGCTTGAGCCACTGGGGATTTGGCATTAATGCCTCCTGAGGTGTTCTACCAAAGGGATTCTATGCAACCTTAAAGAAAGAATAAGACTGGTGCAAAATATTTTGTGTAGTGTGAAAAGCAAGGTGCAGAGAGTTTGTGTAATGGGTCAACATATGAGGAAAGAGTTCAGGAAGGGTGAGGTAGAATATCTGTAAACAAATAAGCAAGGAAATTGTGAAAATACCTCCTGGTGAATATTTAATTAAATAGTAAAACTTGATGTGTAGTCATAAACTGATGAGGCCTATAATTATTGTTTCCTAAAATTAGTTTCTATCCCTATGACCCTACCTCACCCCTACTCGAATTCCCATCCTCATTGGAGGTAGCAGTTACACAAATATGTTAACTGAAAATAAATCTCAAGAATAGTTGGAAAAGAGTTCATTCGATAATCAAAGTGAGTGTTCAAACCCAGAAAGCAGTCCGAAAGATTGTACTTTCTGAGAGCTGTTCCAGTAAACACACTATACAGATAGAAACAGTGAATAATTAACATTAAGAGTGTAATTAGGAATGGCTTCCAGACCTAAATCTACAGATGTGCTGATGATAGAGGAAGGTAATGTTGGGATTTAATTTTTCCATCTTAAGGAATGCACTGCAGAGATGCAAAAACTGGATGCCCATTGTAAAATCTTTTAAATTTTTTTTTTTAATTTGAAAAGACTGATTTCACCTTCGTATGTGAAATTTCTGCATTCAGAACGAGCTTGTGAAGATAGGTCGCTTACTTGCCAGCCAGACCATGGGCAGGTCCTCAGAAAATGTTACAGCGTGTTTACATATATACACATATACACATAAGCAAAAGCGTATCTACTTCAGAACTGTCAACTAGGGGTCCAGGAAGAAAGTGAGAAAACTAAATATCTGAGCTGGAAATAGGCAGACAGGGAAGACAGAAATGGATTCAATGATCTAGAGATGGTAGGCTATAGGTTTTCCTTTCTTTTTCTTCCCTTCCTCTGAATTTCTACCTCCCTCTCTCAAAGTAAGTATTTAGTGCACACCTATGATGTGCCAGGCACTGTTTTAGGCACTGAACACACAGCAGGGGACCCAGGATTATGAAGACTAGATATTGAATATGACAGTGTCCTTGGTGATGCACTTAAGGGGAGATGTTGGGTTAGTAAGTGGGGCCTGTGGGTTATCATTGAGAAAAATTACAACAGAGTTCCCCTTTCACTGACACAGAGCAAGTTTACCCAGATGAAGACGTTGGCACAGACACAAGCAGGTTAAGGATACATTTTAAAAGGTCCGGTTTATTAGGAAAAGAAGAAAGAACAGAGAGAGAAATGGAGAGAAGCATCTGCAAAGTCACAGGTAGGCACATTTTGCTAGGCCAGACATTGTACTACTGACTAGTTCATTTATGGAGGGGCTAATTGCTTTGTGAAACTGTTACCTATTGTTTATCACTTTTAGGGTATGTCTAGGTTGATTGTAAGGACCGGTGATTCTCTATAATGGCCCTCAGTCTCCATACCTCTGCTCTATGCCGCCAAATACTTTCCATAGCATCTGGTACTTCCTATATCAGTCGACATCTAAGGAGCTTTCATTTCTATAGTTGGTTTAACACGATGTTAATAATTCTACCCCTACCTCCAGTTTCTGCTCTTGTGATGCCTCCATCTTAAATTTTCTATGCTTACCCTCCATCAGGCCTACCCCTTAAAAATTTCCTACCTCCTCTCTTACAGTCAGGCTAAAAATCTCCTTTCGTGGCACTGGTTCCCTCATGCATGAGCCTCTGATATAGGCTTGCCTAGTTCATCTGAAATTCTGTGATGAAGTCTTTCTCTTTGGGGGGTGTCTCTGAACCCACATATCTTTGGCATCTGCATTACACCCTCAAAGATTCTCCTTCAACGTCTGGGCTGGAACCAGCAGTGTGTGCCAGGTCCCATGGGGATTGAGGCAGATGTTCCTTCATGGGGCCACTTGGAGAGCACTGTCCTTGGGGATGATTGTGACAGGAAATCGTATCTAAAGGGTCTCCCTGTTTTCTTCCTGTGCCCCTTAAAATTCATAGTCCCCAATACCTCTCTCCCACACCTAGTCCCATCTTGGCTTCTTCTTCTCTAAGGACCTGGATAACAGATCACATCAGTAGTGCCCCATTTGTTGTCAGGCTGCTTTCTGGTGGTGAACAGTGGGATTAAGTGCATAAGGGGGAGGGAGGAGGGCCCTCTGAAATCATTTTGTCTCCTGCAGGCCTGGCCCAACCTTGCTCACATGGCACCAATGACTCGCCAGGGGATTTTGCTTTCCAGTTCAGTCGTTTAGAGTGTGGTGGCTTGGGCTAGTTTGTTTTGCTTCAAATCCCAATTCCTCACAATCTTATGCAAATTCCTCTGCTTCTCTATGCCCTAAGGCTGTGGGTAAGAGTATGCAGGTAGTTGTAACCTCTCAGAACTATAGTTCAAAATGTCTGGACTGACCCTTCTGGGTGAGTGGGGAGAGGAGTTTCTCTGCTGGTAGCAATGTTATAACGTATGTAGTGTTGGGCAGGTACACAGAGGCATGTGGTCTACTGGAAACACCCTGGTTGCAGAACTGCTTTGCTACATTCAGGAACAGGGTTTCTGTAGGTTGATTTCTTTGTGAATTTGCACTTTACTATGTTACTAGGAAAGAATAATACTCTCAAGAAGTAAACTGCGTGTTCTTTTATTCCATTAATTAAATGTACACTAAACAAGTATTATTTGCTCAGCTGTGTGTCAGGCACTGGAGATTCAGAAATGAAAGAAGAAAGTTTCTGCCCTCACGTCTCTCAGTGGCTTCCCAGATTTCTTTATTTGTGAATTTAAGAAGTTGAACTCCTGGGGACACAAACGTGTCCGAGACAATCCCAGTACAATGACGGTGTTGGGATCACCTAGAGATGAAGGACTTCTGCTTTGGTTTTTACTAACATTTTATAATGGGAAGTGGGAGAGGTACAGGAAATAGTTTCCTGGTGATGTTTGGTACAGAGAGGAAGGACAACGTGTTTCAAAGTACCCTGGTTTTAAGAAAAGAAAGGAAAGGAAAAGCTTATTTATTTTCATCGAGAAAAAGAAACTGAAAAAATGCAGTAGTTGAATAAATAGGGAAGAGTTTATTTTTCTTTTTCAGGTCCATGAGGCCAGTTAATGATTAGTGAGACTCAAGGTGGTATTTCATGTTGAAAAGAGCGAGAGGCTGGGTTATGTGGCACTAAGAGTCAGGCCCACCCCAGCTCCCAAACTTCCAGCCGTCATGCCCCCAGACTTCTGGGAGAGAAACCTGTGGTGCTGGGTGCTCCTTCTGGGGTTCACCATTGGGAGTTCAGGTAAGTGGGGGGCCCTGGGCCTTGGATGGAAATTTTTTCAGTCAATTGTTCTATTTCTCAAACAAGAATTTATGCAATACTAACTTTTGGAAGGTCCCCTAAAAGTCCTCCCCTGAGGTGAATTTAAGAGACGGAGAAAAAAAAAAACCCCACAATCATAATGGGAATGACGATAACCAGGACACTTTTCTTAAGTCACCAAATTAACTTCCCCTGGCCACCGTGCTCATGTTTTTAAGCCCATTTTATTTTTTTCTGCCTCACGCAAAATATTTAGTCTATGTATCTGTAAGAAAGTAAATTTTTATAAGAAAATATATTTTGATTAGTTCTAACATGACTCATTTTCACCCTATAGATATTCACTGTTCCATGATATATTTAATTTTTAAGTTTAAAAATTCCAAACTAATAAAATACTGAGCTTATTAGATATCCTTTTTAATCTTGCTAACCCAATTCGTGTTTAGTCCTGTCATTCCTCCGGACTGAACCATGATAACTAGTCCCTGCTCACCACAGATGCCTGCGTGACCCTTAGAACAACTTAGAGATGCCATTTTCATTCTACGTTTTTCTTGGTTAGAAACCCACCTTTCACTCCCTTCTGCTTAATATAGCAAATCTAAGCCCTCTGGTGCAGTTAAGGTTCTCTGATGGTGAGGAGCCCCAGTGGAGCACCCCCCTTCCTGTTCCCAGCAGACTGTTTTGTGGTCATCTTCACCAGATGTTCAGTTCCATTCCGCAACATTATGTGTCCTTCTGCCTGGCGATGACTACACTCCTTTTTCGGTCATTTCTGCTGGCCACATCATCTGAGAGGACTTCTGTGATTCACGGCTCCTTTGCATCTTCTTCATTCCTCTACTCAGCTCCCTCCCCCCTGCTTCACATTCAATTTTTATGAGTGTTTTCACTACTTGAGTAAGTGGGTGGCTTTTAAAAGGCCCTGCTCAGTGTCATGTGCAACTTTTTCCTAGTTCAATTATTTGTTCCCAAAAGGTGAAAGTTTGGGGCTTCTGCCTGTTACCCCATTGAGCACTGGGCTCTGTACACAGCAAGTGCTCAACTGCATGCAGAGGGGAGGCCATGAACTGAGCACAGAGTGTGACTCTGGGTCACACAACACTGGATTTGAATTCTGGTTCTGTTTTTTTGGTACACTAAATTCTGGCTCTCTTTTCTTTTGTGACTTTGAATATGTTTCATTACCTATAATTGAAGATAATACCAGATAAGCATACCATAAGGATTACATGTGATCGTGTGTGTCCAAAATCGGACATTTTGCAGTTGTTCATTGTGCTATTATATTGATAATAACATCACTGGGATTACTCATAATAGCATCACTGGGTTGATAGAAGTGGAAGGAGCAGGGGCTGTGATGTGTCCTCTCGGAGGGAAGCTGGCAGGTGTCCTGAGGCTTTCAAGAGGTGATGGACTCAGAGAAGCAGACTCAACTATTTCACCTGTTTTGAAGCTCCAATCCTGCTTAGGGGGTAAGAGGCAGTTGTTGGTTTTCTAAATGTGGAGCTTGGGAGAAGGAGCACCAATAGCAAATTGTCTTCAAAGTCTTTTTGGAACTTCACTTCTCAGAAAATCTGAGCCTCAGGCACAAACAGACCTCAGAAACCTTGAGTGAGGCAACAATTGGGATCAGGGCAAAATGGATCCAGGTCCAACTACATGCTTCAGAAACACGCTAGCTACCCTAGCAGGAAGTGGACTTAAAGTAACTGGCTAGCAGGACTTAAAATAACTGGGTTCCTTGTCCAGTTCCATTAGTTTGATCTCCTCTACCCACACCTCTGTGGTGAGGCATTTTCTATCTTCCACCTATTTCTTTACCCACCTTTAACAAGTCACTCATTGTCAGTAGTGACATCTGTTAAATAAATGTCTCTTATTCTTACTATTAAAATGGCTTTTAAAAGTTAATGAATTAGGGCCCTCCCTGGTGGCACAGCAGGTTAAAGCGCAGCACTGAGAAGCTGAAGCCACTTCCGCATGAGTTCCATTCCTGCCTGCCCCGGAGGAGATCCACATGGCGTGGCAGACCTCTCCTGACCCGCCCGCTGCTGCCCTCATCAGTGTACTTCGTCGATCTGCCTGTTCTGCTTCCCTCTCTGTCTCTGGTGAATCCTCTTGCCCTCTGCATCTCTGGCCTGTTGCCCAGCTCTGTATGAATAAATAAATAAATCTTAAAAAAAAAAAAAAGTTAATGAATTAAATGACTTGAGACAGAGATAGAAACATGCATTGTGTGTGGAGGGGGCTAGATACTAGCCAAAGGGGAGAGCGTGAAGAACCTAACTGCTTTGAGCCTAAAGGGGACAGAGGGAAGAAAGAGGATGAGAGAGGTAGAGGGGGAACCAAGAAAAGGAAAGAGGCACCAAATGAACTTAAAGAGAGGGACTTTCAGGAAGTGCTGAGGTGTCATTTAGGAAGATTATTCCTGTCACAGGAGGGCCGCAGCTGACCCTTTTGGGCCTGTGTGGAAGTTTGGCCTTTGCCTGCTTTCCTGCCTGGCTACCTGTACAAGCTTTTACAAGTCAGGTGACATCCATTTCCTTGGACGGTGAATGTCAGAATTCTCCAGCTTGCTCCTTGATCAAACTCGTATTTCTGATCGAGGCTCAGGAGTCTTCTTCAGAAGGTGGTTTTGCCGTCCTCCTTCATCTGGATAAGGTGACCATTCTATGTGTTCTCTCAGAAGTTTCTGGGTCACAACTCTTATGTCCCTGCCTATTTTCACTTTTGCTTTTAGACTTGAGTCCCTAAAGGCAGTGATGACTGATGTCTTGCTCATCAAGACATCATATATTATGTATATAAAGATAAGTAGCACCTCAGCCAAGAATGGCAAAAGGGCTCAGTTTGTTGAGAAGAAAGAAATTGGTGGGGTTGCCGTTCCCCAGCCCCACTGTGTGGCATCATGGTGGATTAGTTCAGTGACACGAGCCCTGAAAAAATACTTTGGCAAAGGGGGTCCAAGAATGTCACCCATTTCAGTGACACTGATCACTGACCCAGGTCAGAATGGGACTGTCTGCCCTGGAGGCCAAGGTTTACAGTGATGGTGATGAGAAGTTCCAGGCCCCATCAGGCAGAACTGGCGGCAGAGGCCTGTGAGAAAAGCAGCCAGCTCCTCAAAGGCTAGTCTGGGCTAGCCTCACAGAAGCGGTGAGGCTCAAGTGTTCTTCTGAGGAGCTTGGAAGAGGAGGCCACATCCTGCACAACTTATGGCTCCTGATCATCTCCACATGTGGGGCTGGCGTGGTTTTGAGGCCACTCTGAGCTCTGAGCACACTCTCCCCCTTCTTGGCTCCGTCCACACCATCCAACTGTTTTAGCAAATGAAAACTTTTACGAAACAAAAGCATGTGTGGGATACCAAACTAGAAAGCACATGTGAAACAGAATATTTCTAACAGTTACAGAACATAGGCTCAACCATGCAAGTCATTAGCAGCCTGGGCGGCTGAAGGGAGCTCTAAGTAATTCAACCCTGAGAGTCACTTTCCACCAAAGAAATGTGGGTATTATGACCTAGCAGTAGCAGAGACCCACAATTACAGGGTCTGTAGCCGCTTTCCTTTAACATTTATCAGGATGAATAATGGCAAGACAGTATTTAATGTTACGTCCTTGCTACTTATCTTTATATACATAATATATGAATGTGATGTATGAAATATTTTTACATCAATGTACAGAGCTATTTTGTTTTTTAAATTTAATTTAAATACTTTTATTTTAAAGCTTTGTTTATTTTTTAAAATTGCGGTAATAGTATAAACTAGCTTTGAAAGGATTTATAGCTTAGGCATTTTTGATAGATGTGAGAAGACTGCCCTGCCTGCAATGACAATTCTATTTGCATGTGAGCATACTGCTTCCCTAGCTCTCTGCCAACACTTTGTAATATCAAGTATTTTTCATATTGCCAGTCTGATAGGAAAAAAAAAAACCATTATATTGTTATCTTAGTTCTTTTTATGATTTGTATTTGTGGTGTGTTGTTTAAGCAAGTTCTTATAAAAATAACCTACATATGTTCTTCTAAAGCCCATGAACTGGGCCCAACATGATTAAGATCACTAAGGACTAATCCTTAGTCCTTAGTGTATCTTTTAAATACAAAGTTGAATTTGATTTGCCAACATTTGTTTTTATTTTTATAGTCACTTTTTTTAATCTTTCATATATATATGTATATATATACACACACACACACACACATATGTTCACAACAGAAATTTACCTATCACCTTTTTTCCCCCATCACTGCCTTTATCTGGGTTTAGTAAAGCCTATTATAACTTCATAAAATGAGCTTTTATTCACAAAACAATTTAGGTAAGAAAAATGTTATCTGTGCTTGAAAGTTTTAGTGGTATTATCAGATAAAACCTTCTGGTTTTAATGTATCTGATCATTAATTCAATTTGTTGATGGTAGTAGGTTGATCTGGGTTTTCTATTTCTGCTTGAATTAATGTCACTAATTTATATTTTCCAAAAAAATTATCAATTTATGTTCTTCAATTTGTCTGGGAATTAAAAAAAAAATCTTTTTATCCTTCATGTTTTGCAGTGGTGCTATAATCTACCTAATATAGACTAGCTTTTGTCTATTCATTACCTGAGTATAATTTTTAATTGGCAGATTCATCTTTTTTTAGTTATAAAAAAATTTTAGCAATTATCTGTTCAAAATATTGCTTCTTCCCCCATTCTCTTCCTTTAGAGAACAACTATTAGGTAAATGTTGGACTTTGTCCAACTTATTGTCTGTATTTTTAATTGCATTTTTATATTTTAAGATTCTTTCACTTCTGTCCTAGCTATTATAGCATTGATTCCTTTTTTATTTCAATAGCTATTTTTATTTCCAATTTTCTAATGATATCTCTTTTCTATACTTATCATATTACCTATACCAAGTTTTTCTTAATAATTTTTAATGCTCTGTCTTTATTTTATCCTTGTATTTTCTCAGCATAGCCAAAGGTTTTGTAACCTTGATTTCACCATTTTCTGATTTTATGGACCAGCTTAGTCAACATTTTCCTTATATATTTAAACATTTTGTGTGTAGGCTGTTTTTTTAATTAAACATTTTATTGAAGTACAGCAAATATATGGAAAGTATACAGATGAATAATTTTTCAGCAAACTCACCTGTGTAGCCATCATCCAGATCATGAAATAAAATAATATGAGAGTCCGAAAGCCTATTTCCAGTACCCTCTTTTACTCATCACCACCCCAGAAATAACTTGGCTTCTATTGTAAATAGGTTTGTTTCACTTTAATTTTCAATGAAAATTACACTTTGGGACTCTCTGCCTCCTCTCCCCGGCTTCTCCATTTTCAGACTCTCCTCCAGTCTTGAATTGTCTCAGCTCTCACTGGTGAGACCTTCTCTTCTTATCTGCTATTGCAAATAAAGTTGAAGCCCAGGTGAAAGTTCAACAGGTAGGATTGTTGACTTTGGTTTTAGCCTCTTCTCCTGACTTGAGGACCTCTTTCCCGTGCTGGCTGTCCAAGTGGGCCTGATCCTGGTCTTTCACTGTGACATGAAGCCCCCTTTGGGCCTATGTATGTCACACAGTGAATTTTTACAACATTGCCTTCCTCTAGACTAGGAGGCCAGCACCGCCTTGCATTTCTGTTGAGGAGATTATTTAGTGCTAGTTGAACAATATTTAGATTTTGCTCCAGTATTTTATCTCTACATGTCAAAAATATCACCAATCTTAGTTATAGAAGTGATGCAGCCTTTATTAAGTGAGTTTGATTATTGTACTCACCGATTGATAACCCCTCTAACCCCTTGTTTCTTTCTTCCTTTCAAAAAATCTTTCTTCCTTCTGAGAACAGATGACCACACCTTGAATCTTTATTGTTTTGTTTTGTCTTTCCTCTAGGAGATGTACCTCCTATCCCTCAGACAAAATGTGCCGACTTCCAGAATGCCAATCTCCTCCGAGGCACCAATCTCAAAGTCCAATTTATCCTCTTCACCCCTTCGGATCCTAGTTGTGGACAACTAGTGGAAGAAAGTAGTGACATCCAGAATTCTGGGTTCAATACCACTCTGGGCACCAAGCTAGTTATCCATGGATTCAGGTGGGAGCTAACCAACTGATAGGACCACCTCAGCTAAGAGCTAGAAAGTAATCATAATTCCATAGGAAATTAATGGGTAGAGGTGGAGAAATGAATTTACCGATAGTCTCATATTCTGATGCCTCACTCTGGGCTATTTTTGAATGTATCTCATATCACACATTGTTCATTCTTGTTGGTCAAGTAGGTTATTCCTTCCCTTTGTTTTGTCTACACACTCCCAAAATATGTGTGACTCTGGACTAGTCACCCCAGCACTGGGAGTCTTGGTTTCCATATCTGAAAAAAGGGATGTTGTAGAGATGGTCTTGGGGACCCGTTCCTCCCTGAAACATGGGGTGTGTGATTTACCGCAGCCAATGAGGTCATACGATTTGCACAATCACTGTGGGAACAATGGTGTGTGGTGTCTGTATAAAAGGCTTTATTTCCTCTCCTTTACTTTTCCCCTGGTGTCATGACTTAGCAAACCCCAACTCATGGTGCTACTTTCATCATACTCAGAGGTTAGTGTTTCTCAGGAGTTAGGCTTGTTTCATCTTAAATTTCTGTGATGGCTTTTCGACCAAATTTTGCTACAACTTATGTTCACTGAGTCATTCGGTCAGTGCCCTTCCTTCCAACACCTTCTCTACAAGGCCCCCAGACACGATAGGAACAGAGAGGTTGCTGGGAAGAAAAAGGTAGAGAATGTGTGAAGTAGCAGCACCACAGAGCAACTAGAGTTAGGGGCATCCAATGGAGAGATAGACACAGTCACTGAGCAAATCACTATTTCCTAATATCTGGGCTTCTCAAATGCCTGTACTCGAGGGACCCAGCCATAACCTTCCATAGGTATCTCAGATCACTCTTGTGTCAGAGTCTCTGCTCTAGCAACAATTCTGGTCAACCATTACCCACTGTTTACTGTGTCTCCCTTTTTTGTAAAAATACCACGCCAGGGATAGCTAATAGAGCTGAAGAGTTCCGCAGGCTCATCCTTTTTGCTCATAAGTCCCACGAAGCCACAGTGCACAGCACATATCTAACCTGTGCTCCTCAGACCGCACGTGCATATTCTGGTTGTTCTAATTTGAGTCATTGAGAAAACTTTCCTCATCCCAATCTCTCAAGGAAGCTTTTTGAATATTTTTCCATCATTCTCTTTTTTCTAGAAAAGTCTTATTTTTTCTAAGAAGGATTGGGAATATATCTTATTTTTCTTATCTTTGCAAAGCACCTAGCAAACTGCCTGGTCAGTCTAATGAATGAATGGAAGGATGAATGAATGAACAAATGAAGGAAAACGAGCAAAGTGTTACCACTTTGAGAATTAAGATTGTAAATCTTAACCTGAAGGTACAAAATTATCTTTTCTTTTCCATGAATAACACAAACAGATCTGTGCATGTTGTTTGTGTAGCTTATATATTGTACCAAGGTGCCTCACTGTGGCCTGGTGGTACTGAGTTTTGAGCTCTGGTGAGGACATATATCTACCTGTAGCAAAAGGCACCCTTTGAGCTTACACAGACGCTCCACAGGTGTCGGTGAACACCTGCTCCCTTCAGAGTTGTTTCTTCCTATAGTCAAAGTGACATAGGAGTCACTGCCCGTATATCTCCTTTCCCTAGAATTGGATTTTTTTCTGGTTTCGAGGTTTATAGAAGTTACCAGGACAGTGGGTCTTAACTTGGCGGATAATTTGCCTACCCTTTCTTGTCCCCGTGCCCAGAGCTTTAGGAACAAAGCCTTCCTGGATCGATAAGTTGATTGGCGCCCTTTTGCGGGCAACAGATGCTAATGTGATTGCCGTGGACTGGGTTTACGGCTCGACAGCTGCTTACTTCTCAGCTGTGGAAAATGTGGTTAAGCTGGGACTCGAGATCTCCAGTTTCCTCAACAAACTCCTGGTACGTGAGGAACAACTTGCGGGGAGTTTTGACAACTTCCAGGAAAAAAAGAAGCAACACATGCAGAGGCACTTTGGGGCAAAAGCGGAGCCACCCAGCGGCTTGTTGGTTTTTGTTTATTTGTTGTTGCTGTTTGTTAGTCTTGGTTTATTTTAACCTCAAATATTTATTTATTACACACACACACGCACACATTTTTTTTCCCCATTACAATGCTTGTTGGCCTTCAATTAAAATCTCAGTTCTGCTACTGACAGTGCTGACCTTGGGCAGGTTGTGGATCTCTCTCACTCTCCCTCTCCTTTCTAAAATGCACCACTGCATGCTCACTAGGGAGGGTCATGGAGGGCTTCTGTAATCAAGAGGACATGGCTGTGGTCCTTTGGACGCCAGAAAGGAAAGCGACGTGCCTTCACAGGTAGAGCAGTTGAAAGAGAACAAATGCTTAATGGGATGAGAAGTCTCCCCACTTTCTCTGCAGCATTTGAGGTCGTCAAACCCAAGGACCTCAGGCCAAAGTGTGATTGAAGAGGCCAGGGGCTACCATGACCCACATGGAACTCACTGTGGGTGTCCTGTTCTAGGAGCTGGGTGTGTCGGAGTCCTCCATTCACATCATTGGTGTCAGCCTGGGGGCCCATGTTGGAGGCATGGTGGGACATTTCCATAAAGGCCAGTTGGGACGGATCACAGGTAATGTTCTCTTCTGTCCACCCTTCCAGGTTTAGAGATTGGAAATGCTCTTGCTAAGACAAGTAGGAGTGAGTATTGTCCTTTGTTTTCTTAATTAAGTCACCTATGGCCACTAAAAATTTTTACTGTGGCCCTTTTTTATAAAATGGCTTTGCATTACTGTTTCATGTTCTCTAATATCGTATCAGAGGCCATGTATGTCTTTCAGAACCTCAGTTTCTAATATCTATAAAATGGGATCTAACTGCTCAAATCTCCTTCGCCCTTTGTGGAACCGGAGGGTACTTTATGCTTCAGGAGTTTTTAAGGGACTAGAGTTATGCTGTAAGGGGTCTAACACCTTGGCCCACTAGAGGGACAATTTTGAATCATCCTACAGAGTTCCTCAGAGGGCCCCGGTGGTATGAGACCCAGTTGCCCAAAGCAATAATCCATTCATTAAAAATTTCCTCCAATATCTGACTCCCTCACACTACTGATCTTCTCCCAAATAAGTTATTTGATGACAAATCCCTGCCTCAGGATCTGCTTTTTGAGTGGGAAAGAATCCAGACTTAGACATAGAAATAGTAATATTTATTTCCCCATGTTGCTGTGAGACTAGAATTTATAGACATTGTCTATAAATTCTTGTTTCTAAACACAGAAACAAAGCTGGCACATAGTAGCTGCCTAAAACTTAAAGCTTGTGTTGATTAATACATGATAACTGATATTACTCATGCAACCAAATGATTGGTGTCATTAAACTCACTTTAGAGCCTGAGAAACTGGGCCACTGAAAGGTTAGAGACATCAGAGGGGGCTTTCCTGGGCACTGTGGTCCTGAACTAGTCCTCTTTTGGGTCCTCCATGGGTGACTTATCTGAACTGGAAAACTGCCTCATGAGCCTCATGCAGTGGGCACAAGAGGTCCCTTTAGTCAAGAAGTAGGGGCCTCTGATGTGGGTCTGTCCTCACAGGCCTGGACCCTGCTGGACCAGAGTACACCAGAGCCAGCCTGGAGGAACGTCTGGATGCCAGGGATGCCCTCTTCGTGGAAGCCATCCACACCGACACTGACAGTGAGCAGGGTGACCTTCCTGGGTGGGAGACTGTGTGCACGGCAGGAGGTGAGGGTGTGGACCCCTCACTATGTGCCCCTGGGCAGAGTCCTTCCTCCTTCTGCGCTTCTGTGGTGCAATGAGGACTCACCAGCCTGGTCCTGAAAGTCTACCCCAGCTCTGCCCTCTGTGACTACTGTGATGAATAGTTTTATTTTTAGCCAGCAGCAGACAGGAGGATAAAAAACACTGGAGCTAAGACATTTGGTCATGAATTTCACTCTCTGATGCAACCCCCAAACTTGTACTGTGATAGTGCTGGGAAGGCAGACTGGTTATCAAGGTGAATGTGCCCCCACAGGGTTGGGGGAGTCCATCCAGAACAGAGTTTGAAGACTGCCAAGTCTTCTTTCCTTTCTAGGGCACAAGCCCATTCTTAGTTTGGTGAAGAATGAGAATCTACCATCCAAAACTGATGGGCACATAAAAGCCATCCTTCCCCACCTCATCTCCACCTCCACCTTGAAATCCATGATGACCAAATTAAGCTCTTCAACCAGCTGGAAAAAGGGGTGGGCATGCCTCCTCACTTCTACTCACCATCAAATGCCCATAGAGTTTGTCCCGGGTCCTCTGCTCAGTGTGAGTGTGCTTGGGGGCAGAAGGGAGGTATGGAGGTGCAGGAAGAAATACCATCTGCACCTTACCAGAAGAGTTTACAGTTCTAGCGAGAGATATCTCTGTCTCATTCCTAATGGTCAGAAGCCTCCTTCTAGCCTCCGAGACCCAGAGGTTCATGATTCTGGAAGACACTATTATTACAATCATATTGCTCAACTCTCTTTTCCACCTTAATTTTACAGATAGGAAACCAAAGCCCACAGAATTTTGCCTAGCTGTTGGGTTAATCATCATGTTTAATAGGGTTATTGGCTCCTAAATTTGCTAAATGGGCGATATACTAATGTCCTGAGCTAGGCCTCTTAGTCTCCCTTGAAAGTTAGAGTCTCTTCCTCATACAATAATAACAAACTGAAAAGCAAAACCACCATCACCAAAAACCACCCTTTCCATTTATACAATCCATCTTTTTTGACTTATGTAATAAGCACTGAGATTCAGCGAATACTGGACAAACGCCGGACACGAGAGTTGACCCAATTGGTGGGTCCTTACCTGTGAGCTTAAGAATATAGGACATGACCCCAAGTCAGACACATGGTGAAAAACATCAGTAGTGGGCTTTATTGACACAGGGATGAAAAAAGGGAGAGCTGGTGAGTACTTACAGGCTGACACAGTCTGCCCTACCCCAGATAGCATCTGCTGTGCAGAGACCATATTCCAAGCTGAAGCCACAAGTGTTAAGTGGGTGACTTCTCCACAGACTCCTTCCTTGACAGTGATTCAACTGCCCAAAGCCCTAACTAGGCCCCTTTCTCCCAGCCAACTCCACTCAGGGGATGATGGAGTCCAGAAAGCTCCACCTTCTAGGAGTTGGCCATGAGCACGCCCACTGTCTCATAGTTCCTCACTTGTCCTCTGACATAGTGAACAAGGTACCAAATAAGGTCCCTCTCCCATGGAAATGACAGGTTAGTTAGGCAAGGGTCCTTCATCTACTCTTGAATAAACATTTATTAAGTGCTCATATGTGCTGGCTACCATGCTGGCTTTGGGGACATAGTAGGTAAATGCCCTGCTGTAGTAGGGCTCATGTACCAGGGTCCAGACAAGGCAATCACAGTAAGGAAGAACTTGGGCGAGAGGATGATTCGGGTAGGGGATCTACTTCAAAGAATATCAATGAAAATCTGTCTAAGGAGGGATATTGGAGGTAATAATTGTGGTAAGAATGAGTCAGTCCTTATGAGAGCTAGGAAATGAATATTCGAGGTAGTCAGTACAACCTGGAGCGGGAGGTGAGGGGGGACGGTGTGGCATGGAGGTCAGAAAGAGAAACGTGAGGATGGAAAAGAGAATGAGATTGAGAGTGAAGCAGAGAAGAGCGAGCAGCCCGGGCTAGCCTTGGCAAGAAGGTCTACAGTCAGTGATAAGGGGGTGGTGACTGAGATTTGTTTAGAAGACGATGGTGGCTGCTATAGAGAGAATAGTCTGCAGGTGAGCACTGGGGGAGCCTGGAGGCTCCTTAGAGGTATTTACTATGGTAGCAGGAGATGGTGGCTTGGACAAAAGTGGTGGGGACAGAGAAAAATAGAAAGATTCAAACACATATATATGCACATATGTTAAACATTTTTGGACAATGTTTATGGTTTTTCCACTGAGGTGTGGTCTCTAGTTCTCCACCCACCAAAACACCCATCTTCACATTCCTTTGTTCTCTTCCCCACCCCCTTTTTACCCTTTCCCAGGTTCACCAGCTCCCCTCATGGACGCTTCATAATCAAAGTATTATTTTGGAGGTGACTGACTAGACTGGTGATGGATGTAGGGAGGGAGTGAGGGGAAGGTGGATTCAAGGGTGAGCTCTGAATCATTGCTGAACACATTAAATAAATAATACACACCAATTGCTTACAATAGTGTAAGGTAGAAAGTATCTTGGCAGCTGGTTATGAGCCGGTCTGAGAGGTCAGATATGGTCATATGATGAGATGAGGCTACTGTCTCTAAAACTGATCTCTTTGTAACCAGGTCATATTTCTGCCCAGTCAGGAGAGCACAAAAATATGTCATGAGTAAACTGGGGAAGTGGCTCCAATATATTTATCTGAACGATTGCTTGAAGCAAAATAGAAGCTACTCAATATTTACTGAGCTTATAACATTTGCTAATTTATTTTTATTTTTTTAAGATTTTTTATTTATTTATGCTTACAGAACTGGGGTACTGGCCAGAGGTGCAGGGGTGGTGAGAGGATTCACCAGAGACAGAGTGGGGAACAGAACAGGCAGACTGATGAAGTACACTGCTGAGGGGAGCAGCGGGTCAGTCAGGAGAGGTCTGCCGCGCCATGTGGGTCAGCTCCGGGTCTGGGGATCAAACTTGCACTGAAGCAGCCGCAGCCAGCTTTACAGTGCTGCACTCCAACCCACTGAGCCCTGACCAGGGAGGGCCACATTTACTAATTTATAAGGGACATTGTTCTTGACTTTATTAGGCCAATATGATTATCTTATGAACTTATTCCTCTTTGCTTCTATTCCATTCTGCAGCCTCACAGCAGTTAAGCTTGAGGCGGGCACCCATTCAGCATGGATCTTGGGTGGGCCCGTGGCCAGTGGACCCTGTAGTGTAACTTGGAACATACATCCCTTCCTTTGGAAGTAACAGGGTTTGTTTCTTTTCAGATTGGGGGATTCGGATTCCTGTAGGACATGTGGATTACTTTGTCAATGGAGGCCAAGACCAACCTGGCTGTCCCGCTTTCATTCATGCAGGTCAGAAAGCCACAGGATTGGCCACCAAGAGCCTCGGTGCTGAGTCAGTCAGTGGGAGAATAGACAGTTTTCCTTCCAGGGTCCATAGCTGTGCCCCATATACCTCTGCACTTACTGAATGGATGCCGTTGCAGTTCAGGAAGTCTAAAGGAGGAATGTCTGCAATTAAAAGATGTGCCATGTTTACGCTGCCCTCCCCACTTCAGGTTGTGTGTGACCCAATATCATTCAAGCCAATAACATTCTTCTTGGGCCCTGCTTTGCGGCAAGGCCCACACCAGCTACATCTGGGCAGAGCCTGGTGGTAGCAGAAGCAGATCACCATGCCCAGTACTACGGGGCCAGATGAAGGGTCAATTCACTGCGTAACCTTTGCTCCAGATTTGTAACTCCCAAAGTCATTCTCAAGATACTCATCAAATACTTCCATTTCTTTTCTTCTAAATATGGTCTTCTGGATTTCTATTTTATTTTATTTTTAAATATTTATTTATGCATACAGAACTGGGATGCAGGCCAAAGGTGCAGGGATGGTGAGAGGCTTCACCAAAGACAGAGTAGGGAGTAGAATAGGCAGATCGATGAAGTACACTGCTGAGGGCAGCAGTGGGCAAGACAAGAGAGGTCTGCCACGCCATGTGGGTATCTTCCTGGCCAGGGATTGCACTTATGCACTTATCGCACAATAGCTGGTGGTAGTTTGATGGCACTGAAACTAACACTTGTGTCATCAGAAAAGCCCTACTCTTCTGGATTCTAAAAAAAATAAATTCACAGAATATATTCTTCTTATAGTCATTTTAAATAATATTATGTTAGTCCAAATCTGAGCATCCTTATCACTTGCTTAGTCTTCTTGTAGGTGTCCTATGAATATAGCTAACTGTCAACATTTCATTTGGGAACTTTATGTTGACTGTGTTTACTATCTTTTTAATTTTATCTTGCTTTACCAAACTTTTCACATTTTAAGGATTCTTTTGATAATTTGCCAAATTCGCTGATGTTCCAGATCATGTTTCTTTAATAATTTATCTATTTTTTCCAGCAATTCTGATCATATTGGATAGTTTTTTTTTAGTGGCTTCTGAAATTTCCATGGTATTTTGGTTGGTTTCATGTTTGTTTTTTTTCTTCATGATACAACTTGAAAAGGGCTTAGTTTGTGTCTGTGCCAGCCTCCTGGTGCAGCTAGGAGCTTGCCATAGACAGTGAGCCAGTTGTGGGGAGGAAGTAGTCCACACAGCTCTGACTCAGTTGTAGGTCCTACAGTGAATGGAGAGTTGGAAGACACCAAAACCCTGGCATGTGGCTTAATACAGACCTCTTAGCCCCAGTCAATTTATACAGTATCAGTGATGCTTAATTTAAAATGATACATAACAGTTATGAGAAAACCAAGTGTTTGTTAAGTTGGGACATTTGGCAAACTCAGCTGTCAGTCATTCGGCAGGTACAAGTCAGCCCCTCGGCTCTCGGAGGTGATCAGAGACTGACTAGGCTGTTGCTGACTCCGGTCTCGTCTCATTGCTGGGATGGATATACGAAGGGGGTAGGCAGTTGGTTGTGGGTGTGATGATGAAGAAGGTAAGGTTGTGCAGGCAGATACTCTTTTCGAGAAGTGGGGTCAGAATCTTCAGTTCTCTGTATGCTTGCATTTTCTGAAAGAGAGCTCTCATGATCATGGGAGATGAGTCTTCAATTAGGAAAACTTCTTGTTTAAGTTCAGGTGTCTCAGGAAATATTAAAAGGAAAGGGAAAATGCAATAACCACGTCCAGTACTGTTTTTCAAATGTGGCTCAGGGGACATCCCATGTACTTATAGTCTGCTGGAATATAAAATTCAATAGAGTTACAGTAAGTAGCTTAGAGGGAATTTCCATTTTCTTGAATTGAAACTTGACTGTGTTACGTTTCCTCCTCATACAGGCTACAATTATGTGATCTGTGATCACATGAGGGCTGTGCACCTCTATATCAGCGCCCTGGAGAATTCCTGTCCGTTGATGGCCTTTCCCTGTGACAACTACAAGGCCTTCCTTGCAGGGCACTGTCTGGATTGTTTCAACCCTTTTCAGCTTTCCTGTCCAAGGATTGGTAAATGCCACCCTTTTGGCTTCTTTAACAATTTGTGGAAAGTTCAAGTCTCGTTAGCTGATACCTCTTTAAGTCCTGACCATCAGGGTAAATCTACCCATCAGGGTAAAGAAATTAAGCAATGAGGTGTTCAGTCTGGTCTCACCTGGAAGAAGGCTTTGGGTCTTTGCGCCCCACCCCTTACTTGTTATGCTGCTGCCTGGTGCCATACTCCCTGTGCACACACCCTCATACTTCCTGTGCACTCAGTCCCTCACCTGCAAGCTCAGGCTCCCGACCAGTTAGAAACCCTGGGATAGTGCAGACTTCCTACCCCTGCTTTAGGGGATGCTTGCCGTAGGTCTTTCTGGCGAGGCCAGCCATTCTCCTGTTCCTGATAGATCCTCAATCAAGTGTTTGAGGGAGTCCCCAAGGATTGCACATATGGCCCACTTTTAAGGTGTTGCTCTCTCCCACCTCATGTACATTCTGGGATGATCCAGGCCAGTCTGGTGAGAGTCAGGGCTCTGGTCTCCGTTCACCCTGGGCAGAATATTGCTTCAAATATCGTGGTGTTATCCCAGGCTGAAAGGCTCTGGGAAATCTCCTGGGCAGGGTAAACTCCCCTTCCTCTCCCACTTCCCACTCGGACTCCCACTCAGAACTGCAGCAGTCTGTCCCTGCTTATATGAATGAAATGGATGCCAGCTAGACAAAAGTGTGGAAGTCAGGGTAGTTTCCCGTAATAAAGCAAACCACCATTACTTCCTACTCATCATGCATATTCCCCCAGATGCGACGGGCTAGCTGGTGGAACAACCACTTTATCCCATCCTCCCCCTCCCTCCCTCGCCCGGACCACCTGGGCAATGCTACAAGTACTTCAAATCTGTCTAAGAACATTTCAAGCTCCTTCACACGGTGTGGTGTGGCCCGATGTGCGCTCACTGCCTGGAGTTTGCTTCCCTTACTGGCCATGGCCAACCACTGTTCCTGAGGTCAGACACTTCCCTCTGCTTCCAGTGTCACTAAAACAAATGTCACAGAGACAGTTTTGCCAGTCAGGGACAAAACTTTCTTCTCAATATTTCCTGAGGATGGGCCAGGTGATCTGAAGTATGTACCTCGTGTTTCCTTGCACGTGTACCCTCCACTGCACTGTATTTCTGGTTGGCCTGGGACTCACCACAAGGTGTGGTCAATGAGCATGGACGCGATTTGCCTACCCAGTGGGTGGGTGCACCATTAGTCCACATGGAACTGGTCGTGAAATGACCAGCTGAGGACTCTGCTGTTTTTCCTCCTTTACTTGCAGGTCTGGTGGAACGAGGTGGTGTCCAGATAGAGCCACTGCCCAAGGAAGTGAGAGTCTACCTGCTGACCGCTTCCAGGGCCCCATACTGTGGTGAGTGGCAGAAGAGGACAGATGATTCAGTAACTCGGGCAAAGTGACACCCTGGTTAGTGGCAGGGTCAGGCCTTGGAACCGAGTCCCCTAAGCAGCTGTTGGGGCTCCAAGCGCTGCTTCTCAGGGAAGCTCCTTTGTGGATTTTATTTCACTACCAATTCCTACCCAGTGTTAGTATTTGGCTTTCCTGGGAAATACAGATTAAAGAGAAGCAGAAATTTTCTTTAGGAAAATTTCCCTGATCAGTGATACTTGTTGACCAAGGAACAGCTCTGGATCAAACTCAGCCCAGAGAATGAAATTCCAGCACCTCGTATAGGTTAGCCCATGTTTTCCATATTGCAGTTATCCACTGCAGCTCCATTCCTGCCCATCCCCACAACTATCCACATCCCATAGTAACAGGACAAAGGGGTATGACGTTTGCCGTTTTCCTCCGGGGAAGGGGGACAGTGTACGGAGCTGTCTTTTTTTCTCATGGATTCATAGCATATTGACACTGTCCACAAGTCCTCTCTGTGACTTAATGCTGAGTCTGCCTCAATCCATTTGCTGTCCCCTCCAATTTTGCATGTGAAAGCCAACAAATGAAGAAATGCAGGTAGGGGAAAGGTAAAGAATTGCCTTGTTAGCTATATCCCAGCCACCCAAAGGAGTCTGTGAAAATGCTGAGACCAGTTACTGCAAAAGGCCAGGAGAAGGGCTCCCCTGGGGTTAGGGAAGAGGTGATCTCCCTTAGCCTCCCTTGCCTCAGAGGCAGCAGGTTCCAGTGTGGCCACATCTCCATGAGCGAAGCTGCCCACCCAGTCTGTGTGGAAGACACCTGCTTTGAGAGCTCCAAAGCCCACGCTGACGGGAAGCCCAAAATGCCACACAGACACCCAGCCACCACAGAGAGGGAAGTAGCCACCTCCTACATGGGAATGACTCCTTGACACCGTGTGTGTGTGTTCAGAGGGGTGTTGCTATGTTTTATGAGTTAGTTATTTAGTATAGGGTACATCCTCTTCAAAACCACACTGCCAGGGCCTTGTGACCAAATAGGAAAGGCTGGACATTCTAGCATTAAAAGTAATCGAATCTAATATATATTAAATTTTTGAGATACGTGAGCTATCTAAGAACTTTATAAGTAATCCATTTAATTCTCATTCAGTCCTGAGAGCTGTCTGTATTGTCACACTGAGAAGCTGAGGAACTTTGATGACAGGTGTCTTCCACAGCTTGTAAGGGGCCGAGCTGAGACTCCTAGCCACACTCTGCTCTCTGGGACATTTTACACGTTACTCTGCTGACCTCTGGCTTTGTCATCTGCTCTGCTTTGCTCTCCTAGTGCATCACAGCCTCGTGGAGTTTCACCTACAGGAGAAAAGACTAAAGGACACGAGCATTAAGGTCACCTTCCTTAGTGGCAATGTCTCCTCCTTGGTCAAGATCACCATGTGAGTGTCCTGCATGACTATACATTAGCTGTTTTCCCACTTTACACATGTATACACACGCACACACACACATGGGCACTGTGTGATCACTGATGGGTGGGACAAGTCCCCTGGGCTGGGGCAGGGCAGTGATGCCTGCACCCACAGACCTACACTTGGCAACTGTTTCAGGTTTGGGAACAGTACCAGATCTAAGAATGCTTTGTTTGGACAACAGCGGATGAGGCAGGCAAGCAGCAGTCGTGGGGTGTCCCAATGGGTGGGAGAACATGGAAATTGGATCCCTGTTAGGGAAACAGTCCTCTGCAGTGCAGCAGGGCCATCAAGGATGTCAGCAGCTAGGAAATTCAGCCATTAGCCCACAGAAGGCTGGTCAGGGTTGATTACCAGGCCAGAAAACCAGGGTTCATTACCAGGCCAGAAAACCAGGCAGAGGGTCATTAGCAAATGAATGAAAGCTGAAGGCCTGCAGGCTTGATGCCTGGTGGAACCAGTCCCTGGAAGAGAGCTGAGAATTACTGTTCCACTTAGGCCTGTAGCTGGTGGGACCAGAGTTGAGGTGAGAGGACCTCAAGTGTGGGGAGCTGCAGTGGTGGGAGACAGAGCAGCAGCCATGATTCGGTTTATTTTAAAAGCATTTGGTTAGTTCTTCACAAGTCTTCAGGAGACAGACTAAGACCAGAGAAGTCTCAGTCAGGATACAGTGTGGAAAAGCAAAGCCCAATTCCTTAGTCCAATAAAAAAGAATTTAACACAGGAAACTAACACAAATGTTTTGGGAGAGCCGGAAAACCAGAAGGAGGGTGAGGAGGGGCTCAGAGATCAGCTTCCAGAAAGAGCCAGGACCAGAGGGGCACACCCCAGGACCAGAGGGGCAGAGCAAGGTGGTGCTGGCAGAGCAGACTCACAGGGCACGGAGTGCATGATGGGAAGCTGAGTGGCAGGAGCTGGAAGCAGGGAGGGAACAGCCCTTCTGGAAGCACTGACCAAAGGGCTCCCACCAGTGAGCACCTCCTGTGCATTAAAGGTGCTGACAGAGGAGATTAAGAATGGTGGTTTGCAGGGGCCTGGGTGGCTCACACGGAGAACTGTGCTATAGTCAAGGTGACAGGTGCCCCGAGAACAAGTAAGAGGGAAACTGACCCGTGTGTGGAAATGAGATTAGAGATTTGAGGGATTTTCAAGAGTTCCCACAGGTTAATAAGAATAAGCCTCTGGGGAACAGAGAGCTGGGGTAAAGCACATGGAGCAGACACCTGAGATGCTCTTCAGGCCCAGACCATGCTGGGTCTTGGAGGATAGGCTAGGGGTTGCATCTGAGAGAAGTTTGGGGAGTCACTAGTATCGTGAACAGGAGAACACCCAGATCAGGCACAGAGTTGGGAACATATCTCAGGCTGCAGGGTTAGACACTGGCTGTGCTTTCTGGGAAGATGAGTTTCTCCTGAGAAGGGCCTTCTGCTAGGGTGTCAAACTCCCTGCCGCCAGGCCGGCTCACCCAGGCCCCAAGGTGAGGTAGGGCCATCTGGACTCCAACGTAGATTTTCAGGTGTCCATGTGAGCCTTGTAGAGTGTAACTGAAAGCTCTTTGTGAGATCAGTTCAAGGTTGTGTCACTTCACAAAGTGAAGTGCCCTCTCCAGCCCACTGGTAGATGGGCCACCACCAGTGGGCATCGTGACAGTGACCCACAGCTCTACACGTGAGAGTCAGGGGACAGCACCCGCCACCAAGCCCCAGCCCAGGCGAGCAGCTGCAGAATCTCGGGGCACAACTTCAGGGCTCCCTGAGTAAGGCCCCCTAACACCTCCCAGAGATTTGAATGTTACTGTTGGAAGAAGGCTAGCAGAGCATGACTATCTTCAATTCCTAGCAGAACAGAAATTGAAAAAAGAAAAAAAAAAAGAGGGGAGTTTATGTGTGGTCTTTCCCCTACTTCCTATAGCTTTGTGAAACCCCAAGATTTCCTTCTGATTTGAAAATTTACCCTGTCAAGTCCCCAGGCCACCCACTCACAGTTTGCACACTTCTCAGTCCAAGCGTCTTCTCAAAGGGGACAATTTTCCTAATTTGTCCTTTGAAATAGTTCCAAAAATTTAAACAAAATTATACAAGATCTTTATCAGAAGAAAAGTAAACCACATGACTAAATACACACCAAGATGACAATTCATCACTCTACAGAGGCAGGAAAGATAAGAACCCAGCCTGGCTGAACCAGGCTCCGAGCCTTGGAAAATGCCTACCTGGGGTGTAGGGGGTAGCACCTCCCGGCCCCCTCTCCCTACGGTTCCTGCTGCCTCTGAGGCCTGAGATGCCCGGGAGGGGTCAGTAGGCCAGACCAGGACCCGGGATGCAAATCCAGCCCACGGCTGAGATGTGGGGCCCTCTGTGCTCCCTCCCAGCTCTCCCACCCCCTCCAGTGCCCCCTCAGGGCCCATGTTGGACTTCTGAGACTTGACTTTCAGGGGGACCTTTTGCCCCACTCTTGAGCCTTGCCTTTGTCTGGGTGCTCTCTAGGTTGGTCTTCAAGCGCCTCCCTTCATCTTAGCCTTAGGGCATGAGGCCAAAGTGGTGCCTGAATCTTGTAAGCCAGTGGGAGATTCTGTTCTCACTGGGACCCCAGAAGCTGCAGCCAGTGTCTTCCAAGCTCTGTAGCTTCCATGTGGGGAAGCTGGACTTTAAAACTAGCGTTAGACCTAGGACAGTGTGAGTCAAAAGCACACACTGGGAAGAGACAGAACCATGTTGCACCCCAGCTCTGTATGATGTTAAGACCTGGTTTTTCGTTATTTTTTTCCTACTGACACATTCATATTACATCTATAATCTAGTAGTCCTCTCACAAAATTCCTTGAACTAAAAGAGGGCTCTACTTTCAGACAGTTGGATCTGAAATAAAAATCTCCAACTTACAATCTAAGAAAATGGGATATTTTTCCAGATGGGAAATTCCAAGAGCTACTATCTTGCTGCAGTGTTCACTAGTTTATTTACAACAATCCACAGATATTTTCCAAGTTATGTTCAAAGCTTTGGGGATGTGGGCAGAGGGGTGAGGTGGTGAGGCTGATCAAAGGATTCCACCTTCCAGCTACACCTCTTGGCAGGTCAGCTAAACAGAGCCGCTAGCACAGCCAAGTGGAGCCAAGGGCAGCAGAGACCAAAGTGCGAGTGACTTACTCTCCCTTCCCCCTGCAGACCTAGACAGCAGCTCCAGGGGAGAGCAGTCATGGCTCACACCAGTCCTCTCTGCCAGACAAACCAAGTGAAACTCAAGTTTAAGGCCTCCAACCGGGTTTGGAAAAAAGACCAGACTGTCCTTGCTGGGAGGTTCTGCACCGCACCTTTGCCTGTCAATGACAAGTAAGCCCTGCTGTGCACCCCGACCCCCACACCCGCAAGGACCAATGCTGACCTCAAGTGTGGCACTTCTTTTCTTTTTCAGATTTATTTTATTTATGCATTCAAGCACTGGGGTATAAGCCAGAGGTATGGGGCAGGGTGAGAGGATTCAACAGAGACAGAATGGGGAGCAGAACAGGCAGATCTACTGAAATCCACTGCTGAGGGGAGCAGCGGGTGAGACAGGAGAGGTCTGTTGAGTCACCTCCCCTGGTTGGGGATCGACCTTGTGGTGCAATGGCTGCCGATAGCTTCATAGTGCTGAGACTTAACCCCTTGCGCCTCCGGGAAGGCCCCAAATCAGTACTTTTTGAAGTGCAGTCTTATGCTGATCAACTTCTTCAAAGCAGAAATGACAAAGATCTGGGTTTTCCTGGGTCTATTGATGGACCATTTTGAGTTGGGATGTTAGGAAGTAAAGAGTGTGGGCTTTAACTTCTCATCCCCACTTCTATACAGGAACCTCTATTGATTGGGTTCTTGGCAAAGTCCTGATGTATTTTTTCTATGTTTTTTCAAGCAAAATGCACCAGGACTTTTCCAACAACCCAATATTTGCATGTGTGTGTGTTGTATGTTTTTTTATTTTGTTTTGCACAAGATTTTATTAGAATAAAAACTGCTGGCTGCATTCTCCCTCTTCCTTAGCCTCTGCTGGCCACATCCATGCATGTGGGTCCAGGACTTCTACACCCTCTGTCCCCTGTACAGGCATTTGTATTAGCAGCATTTATACCTGTAGGCATTTACACATTCTACTCAGCACCCCCATGCACTCCCAGGACAAGAGGCTTCTGCAGGAGTGTCTGATAGATCCCTTTCACCTGAGAGAGAAACACAGCCGCACACAACTCCTAGCCCTCTCTCTGACCAGCCAACCGAGAGCCGACCCTGAGCATACGCCCTCTTGTTGTTCTTTTGCAGCAAAAAGATGATCTGCTTACCCGAGCCAGTGAAACTGCAAGCAGATGTGACTGTTTCTCACGACGTGAACATAACTTGTGTTTAGTACAATCCTAGCAGGACACATGTTCCTGAATTTGGGAGGTTGTGGGTGATTCAACTTTTTCTAGATGATTAGTACAAAGAAGGAAGACCAAATTCTTGGTAATTTCCTCCCCATAATTAGCCACCGTAGAAGGGAGAGAGAGTTCATGTAACAGAGCTCTATCTTCATTGTTAGTTTGGAGAGCTTGACACAGAATGCATTTATTCATTTAGAACTGCAGTTTCTCCATATTCTTGGACATCTGTACCTAGGATTTAATAGAAACATATACAAGGAAAATGCCCCTCAATATTCATTGAATATCTGGATCATTGTTTTATTAGAAAGGAGTGCTATTATGTACAAAAAATGTGATGTGCAGTCTGTGGGACTAGAGAAAGCAGATGTTGAATTGTCTATTAAAATTGCAATGAAATGAAATGCTTGGAACATGGAGAGAGGGAGATGCAGAAGATGGCACCATCCACCACCACTTTCCATTGACTTCTCTGCATATGTAGAAGATTTGGGGTGTCAGGGAGCTCTATGGGGAGTACAGATAGATTTTGTTTGTTTGTTTTTGGAGCAGTGTTTCCCAAACTTTGATCTTGATAAATAATCTTAATATCATCCACAGTCTGGTAAGAAACAGATGATATGCTCGGGTTAAGTAATTCGAGGAGAATTCAATCAAAGGACTCTTGATTAGGGCGTGGGCAAGCCGGAAGTGATAACAACGTTCACTGTTCCTGCCCTTATTCTCTTCCAAGAGGCAAGTGGGAGACACATGAGAGGCTGGAGCCACAGCAGATGGAGGAGGCTTTAGTCAAGAGACACACAGTCACCAGGCAGCCTTCCTGCGGGGAGGAAGCCAGGAAAACAGATTTTTCCAACCTCACGCTTTTTTGGTCCTCTTTTTCTTGTGATGCTCCTGCTGAGTCACTCTAGCCAGAAGCCAGAGGCAAGAAGCACTTTGATTTGGCTGGGAATTGAGTGTGATAGGGAGGCATAGAGAGTGGAAGATTAGGGTAGGCAATCAGCGGAGGTATAGCCCACATCTTCAGAGGCACGAACTGCCTGGATTTTCCCATACTTCATGGTTTTCTTTCCATCTTTCAATAATCACCTACATTTTAAAAGTTCAGTAGCATTAACTGCCTCCAGAACTTGCTCATTGTTTTGTCCCAACTTCTGTGACCGGCCACAAGAAAGACGGGAAGCAGAAAGGCTGAGCAAGTAAAGTTTATTGCTCCCGGGCAGCAGCTGAGATGGAGCCCCTAGGGTGGGGTCCATAGCTATTGCCAGTGCTATAGGGGAAAATGGTCTCATATAGATTCTAGGTTCACATTCCAAAGGGGTGACTCATCGCTGTGCCCCCTGATGCTAGGCCCATTTCCTTCCACCTGTATCTCCCAGATGCTAGGCCCAGTTAATTATCAAACTTGGATGTGAGGCCCAGTTCATTATCACCTTCAGCTAGTCCCATCCCTGATGCAAGGTCAGTTTATTACCACCTTATCAAGCTTGGATGCAAGGCTCAATTCTTTACCACCCTAACTCAGTCCTTGTCAGTAAATCTTTGGTCATTCCCAACAATCATCATCCAAACCAAACCTCTGTACTCAGTGAAGGATAATTCCCAGTGCCCTTCCCATCAGAGGCTGGTCACCACGGTTTTACTTTCTTTGTGACTTCTACCTTTCTAGGTTGCTCACCACTCACTCACTGTCCTCTTGTATCTGACTTGTTCACTTAAAATAAATAGAACATCTTTTTAAAAATAGAAATTAAGCATGCTAGAAAATTTTTTTAAAGAATTTCCTTCCCTTTTGAGGATTAATAATATTCCATTGTATGTTAACTAACTTAAAGAGGTAAACATTTCACAACATATATATATATATATATATATATATATATATATATATATATATATCCATCAAACCGTTATGTGGTACAACTGAACTATTATTTTGTTGTTGATGTCAACTATATCTCAAAAAAAATGTGCATAAGACACATTTCATTTTATTGATTCGTCACCATCTACTCTTGGGTTCCTTCCTCAATTTGGCAATTGTGAGTAGCACTGCTGTGAACACTGGATACCAGTGTATGCTAGAGACTTTTTCTTAATCTAAATAAATGTACTTTGAAAGGAAATCACTGACTTGTTGACTGACTCTGGGCAGAAAAGACAGGGAACGGCACAAACAACAGGCTGTGATTGCTCCATCTGAGCCGAGTCACTCTGTTTACCAGGACAGTGGGCCCCAGCCTCGGTCCAGCCCATGGACACACAAGCAAAGGACAGCTGTTGTGGCGTGGATACTGACAAATATGTCTATTTTCTGCACCGTGTGAATAACACATTCGAAGAAGATGCTTCCCCAATACGCAGCTTAGAGCACTTTTTTTGCCTTTTAAGTACCACACTAATTGAGTCACTGGAGCCACACCTTGTGTTATTTTTTCCTTTCATAAAACCCAACCCCCTTCTTTCGTTTCCTTCCAGTTCCTGAACCATATGAGACTACGCGTTCTGGCATGTCACTGATGTCACTGTTAACGTGTTTGCCACACGAGATGTGGCTTAACACAAGTTCTTCCTTAGAATTCCCTCTCGCTTGTTGTTTCAAAGTGTGTGCAAATTGTCCTAGGCTTCCAAGAGCAACCTCATGTGGTACTGATGCTGGTACTTGCTGGAGTTTCCTGTAATTATACTTTCAATTTTTCTTTTGGACACAACCTTCTGTTTCTTTGTTAATATTTTCTTTTTAAAGATTTATTTATTTATTTATGTGTAGAAGAGCTGGGGTGCAGGCCAGAGGTTTCATGCAGTGAGAGGACTCACCAGAGTCAGAGTAAGGAGCAGAACAGGCAGATCTACTGAAATACACTGCTGAGGGGAGCAGCGGGTGAGACAGAAGAGGTCTGCTATGCCATGTGGGTCACCTCCCAGCCCAGGGATTGAACTAAGGCCTTAATGGTGATAGTGCTGAGACTTAAGTCCTGCACCACCAGGAAGGCCCCTGTTAATATTTCCTTTCTTTAAAATACCATTTGACTTTCTTAATTTATTCTGCTCCTCATTAGAAATTTTAGATCCTTGCCTTACTGGAAAACCAGTGCCCTTTATAAGTTAACCCCAAAACTAACTATAAAGAGAGAAAATACAATATTTAAAATTCAGGTAGACACAGTGCTTATTGAATGCTCAAGACCCAGACCTGTCTTTTTTTTTTTTTTTTTAAAGGAAAGACTAACAAGTATGAGAGAGATGGGCTAAAAGATAGTTCAACAAGCTCACACCGTGCGACTTGACATTGCTGGATGCTGTGCTATCTGCACCATCAGCCCTGTGTGGGCAGCTCTCCTCTCTACTTGTAGATACCTGACTTTCACCAGGCGCAGTGTCTGTGGTGCAGGAGAGAGGGAGAGCTAACAAGAAACTCTGCTGGATGGCAGGGAGAAGGCAGAGCTTGGGTGTCCCTCTCATAGCTCACAAACTCTGCTGAGATCTTTTCAAGAACAAAATTACTGAAGTAATTCTTTTAATTTTGTAAGTAATGTCATTTTTTTAAAAAATCTTGTCATTATAAGAAAAGTACAGATCTGTTTTTAGTGAGGTTTATAAACTGGCCATTACAAGAGTACCCCAAAACTGCATCATGGGAGAGGGCATCCTGTCTCCTGAAGAAGCAACTTGAAAAGGCAGCATCCAGTGGGATGTGCAAGTTCGGGTTTGCTCCTGGGACATCCATCTCTTTTATTCGTGATGCCTTATGTTTTGCCAATGCAGCTGTGTTTGGAATGACTGTCCTCGGCAAGGTGTCTCTCTTAATTCACCACGTGTCCCCGTAGACTGATCTGCATGCATTTTAGCTTCTTCTGGGTTTAAGAAGTGTTTATTAGATAATAATTTCTATAAATTACTGAATTTCCCCAGATACAGATCACTACAATGAAATTACATGAATTATTTTTGTATTTTCCAAGATAGTACACTCCTAGGGCTATTGTGAATCAATGACATTTACAAAGTATATTTATAGCAAGATTACTTGAATTCAATCAGTTTTTTTCTCCCACTTCTGACTTTAAAATCAACACCTTACAGAAATTACTTAATCTGTCAGACTCACCACAAAGTGCTAAATATTGCAAAGAGAATAAAAAAAAAAAAAAAAGATGAACAAGACAGCTCCTGTTGGCACTACAACATGGCTGCCAGACTCCTCACCTCTCCAGCCACACTCAACTGAGTATGTTCAATTTGAACCCCAATCTGAGGACCAGGTTCCCTATTCCAGGTGATAGTCTTCATCCCGCAGGCTGCACCAGAAGCACACTTTCATTTGTGTCTTGTTATAACCCTCCACTAAAGCAACCCAAGACTTGTGCCAGGGTTAACTACAGTTCTCCAATGCTTAAAAATCAGTATTCTTGCTGATCCAACTTATCATCATGCTTGTGGAGTTGATTTTCTGAACTTGAATGACCCTTCCCTCTATATGATGAATTTCTTTGCTAAGTTAACAAATATATAAAAAGATTTAGTAGTGCTGGTTTATTTTCCAAGAATGTCTTATCAGTTCTTATACACTCAATGGTTGAAAAATTATTTCTTTACCATTACTTTTTCCAGTATTTGCCTCTCCATGATAAATTACCTGAGTGATCCAGTCCTCCTCTGGCGAGCCCTTGAGGTAGTTAGCAGATGCTTCCTTGTGGTAGTCAGCTCTGCAGTTACACAGACCAATTGTCCATCTGTGTAACTGGAATAACACTTCTTTCTTTCAGAAGTATACAGGGCTGAGGTTTTACCTAATAAAACTGGCATTGATTCAGACTGAGTCTTTAGGCAGTGAAATTCCCTAGGGTGAACATGACAAACTTTTAAAAATAAAAGTTTATTTTCTCAAAGATTATAAAATTCGGCTCATCTAAAAAATTTCGGCCAATACAGAAAGTCATGAAAGAGAAAGTAAAAATTGAAACTTGTGAGCAATGTACCAAATTGAGTTTTTAGGAAAATATATGTATTTTTCATATAACACATATATAGTGATTTAGATAAATCACCTGACATAATCTTCTGAACAAATCCATGTATTGCCTTAATTTTGTGTACAAGGAAACTGAGGAAAGGGAAAATAAGCAGCTTGCCCAGCCAGCAATGGGTGGATCAGGATCTACACCACGCCATCTGACCTCACAGTCGGGGCCCTAACCACCACGTTATTCTAGTTAACCTCCTCCAGTTGCTTTTGGTACTTGCAAGCAAAATATCTAGCTAAATGGGTATCTCTCCAGTCTGTTCCCACACTACCTAACTAAAACTACCTGCCATTTTCTCCCAGTGTGCTGAAGATGGTAGCCCCCTAAAAGAGACTATGGATAATCTGTCATCTCCATGCCTCGGCACCACCACCCCAGATTCTACTAGCCACTCAGCATCTACTTCCTGTTGTATCTCTTCTGGACTGTCTGACCTCCCTTTAGTCAGTAGCTTTGCTCCCCAGGGTGGTGGAGGGGAAGGTTGGAGGAGAGGGTGAACTGGGGGGGACTATAGCTTCTCATATGCATGTCAGAGTTTTGTGATGAGATTGAAAGGTCCTCAAAGACACAGGCTATGTTTTTTCTTTCTCTGTGTCCCATACATTGTAAGCATGCGATATAAAGTGATTTGAATTAAAACAGTATTCTAGAGACATAGACAAAGGCAGGAGAAAAGACCAGGCCCAGAACAGGTGAACTTTGAAGGAAGGGTTATCCTTTCTTCATACTGTTAGAAATGGCCTTTATTTATTCATCTTGTTTTGAATTCTTGCCTACCAGTCTCTACAATGGGAAGCTCTGGTTATATATGAGAAAATGTATTAAAACATAATTCTTCCCAAATTATTAAATTTTTATCCAGCCCTTAATCTCTTTGCAGAGTGCCCTGAGTGACATTCTTAAAGTGACATATATGATTTCTTCCACCTTTAAACACACAGCTGATCTCACTGTTTGATACATCCCAGCCTGTCACAGTGCTTCCTCTACTCAGGGGGAGACTGGATTCTTCCTCTTCAAGGAGAGCACAGAGCTGATTGAAATATCCCAGTATCTGATCCTTCCATGCCCTATGATGGTCCTAAAACCCTCACAATGCTCAGCATTTATAAACCATAATTCCTCTATGTGACCATTCTGTCTCCTCACTACAGCTCAAACCAACCTGCCCA